TTTTTTTAAATTTTCCTTGCACATGATTGGGTATTCTTTTCAAAGTGAAATTTCACCACATTCACAAAGCTAAGTGAAAACTACTCCGCAAAGTGCAAATTCTGATGCAAAGTGAACAGCCTTTTTAGTAAATCAATCACATAGAGTATTAATATCTTTTTAGTTACAAAATGGAGGGGCCTAGGGAGGCTGTGCTTAGGATATGAGTTGCCGCTAATTCACCACTACCTCAGAGCATTTTCCCTACTCATGACTGGGGCATAAAGCTGCCCTTTACACTACTGAAAACCCACCCCACTACATTCAAACTCATCTGCAGAGATGGCCTCGGCTCAGGAGCACCTCACACTTTGAGCTTGGTAAAATCTAGTTCCTCAATGCCATCTGAAACACATACCTTATATAATGCACAGTAACCGTCCTACAACTCTATCTTTGCTTCTTAAGGTCTCCCAAAGGCACTCTAGCACTGTCAATTCCTGATAACGCTTCGGGAAGAAATTCTCAGAATAAACCAAATGCTGTATTTGTGTTTATTCTGCAACATTACAAACAACAAAAGGATCAGTCCTTTGACTCGCCCACCTGCCCTATGGTTAATAAATGTGGGCACCCAGTTTCATGTCTCTGACACAGGTTGACAGACCATCTTCATAGTCTGCTTGGGATTGAAGGGAAGAAGGCAGAAGGGTTCTTTGCTCTGTTTTTCATCTCTAATATAGTATAAACCTCTTTATTTGCATATGTATACGAAAGGCCTCATGAGTCACCTAATTTATTGTAGTCTTAGATGTGTGTACGATGACTCTTAGATCCCCGTAGTTATAATTGTTGCTTACTAAAAGTAAAAGTGACTTAGATCTCTTTTTTTATATACTCATTTAAAAAAAAAATACATATATACCTCATTTAAAAAAATTAACCACGTATGACCTAAATACTTTCAGCCCTGAGCCCACCCTAAAAGTAGCTCCAGGTTGATACACCCCTGGTTGTAAATCCATCTTCTGCTGAGAAGTGTTATATGAGAGGGTTTCTTGCGTTGCTCCATTGTATGTAATACAACCTAGTTCATTTGAAATGGGTTCACAGTGTAGTGTAATATCTAGAAACCTACATCTGTATACAAACAGCACAAGTATAATTAGTCATTTTAGGATGCTACATATCATTCCTTCCTTATGAATGTGTAGGAAACCACCTTATCAAGTTCAGTGCATATTCCAAATTCTTATCTCGCTCTGTGCATTCCTTCCTTTATCTTTAGAAAAAATAGCGGTTATTTGGTTAGTCACCCATACAGAGTGTTGCCTTTCCTGTGTTTTGAACAAAACTTTGTCCTCTTTTCTTGTTACTTCTTTGCATAATTATTTGTCTTTCTTAAGACCTGTGATAAAATCACCGAAAGCCAAATACAGGGCAAGTAAAAGAAAAAAAATGAGAATATAAAATGTTATTCAGAAATTCTGAGGAAAGTCCCCAGTATTTGTAGAGCAGAATAAAACAACAAAGCAATGCCTTTTACTTTTTGACATTCACTGTGCCATTGTTAAATAGTCTGAAATAGGAAAAACACATTATTTAAAGAGCCAGTCAGACAAAAAGTGAAATTTTAGCCCTAGGTGGATCCTGGCGGGCCGGCCCCCTGTTATACTGTGGTTGTTGGTGGCTGTGCACTCTGTTGGGTGCGTCCAATCCAGCTCACTCATGTCAATGGTTGCCAGGAGCTGAGCAGGAGCATCCCGCTCAGCTCCTGGCACAGCTCTCTCCTCACAAATATTTTCCTCCCCCCATGCTGCTTTAAGGACTTACCTTAAATGAGGCCTCTTGATCCGATCATCTTCTTCCTTCCACTTGTATTCAGCAATCCCTCCAGCGCTGGTGCCGATCTCTGATCCAGCGCTGACTGCTGTGTCTTCTGTGTCCAACAGTGTCTGTCCGACATGCACGCTCCCGGCTGCATGCATTCAGCTGCACTGTGTCTCTCCTCTTCTCCGCACCACTCCGCACATGCGCACGCCACATCATTCTGCTCGGTCGCTCGAGAAGCTCCAGAACTTCAGATGAGAGCGAGCGGTGGTGACAGAGGTAAGTAATTACCTTTTTGGTAACTTTTTATTTTTTTTTAAATGTTTTTGGATACGTCTTCTGCTTGCTAGCAGTCGATATATTACTACTATATTTACTGAATTTGTGGATTTGATAAAGAGTTGCACTATTATCATGTGACATAAAAATCTGCAACTGCCACCATTTTATTCTACAGGGTCTATGCTTTCAAAAAATATATAACTCTGAGGGCCTTTTAGTAATGTTCAGGCCTAAAATGTGGATTATAACATGTGTGCAAAAAAAACAAAGCATTGTCAGCGAAAGGGTTAAAAACCACGGCCTCTTTATTGGGTTAAGATTTCAATTGTTATCCTTTAATTAAATACATTTAATAACAAACAGAAATAACTGTAACCACGGAGACCATATACTGACCAAAACTGCTTAGTCTTTAAGACTCAAGTTACCAACCATAAACTAAAAGGAATAAATAAAAGAAGGGGGGTCAGGAAAACTAGTGTCCAGGTAAAGGTTGCAAGTTCCTGAGGTAACTGCTGACAGCTGTCTCACTAACAAGTAAGGATGCACCGATATCAGTTTTTTGGTATCGAGTACCGATATTTTTTTTTTGGGTAATTCGCCGATCCGAGTAACGAGTAACGAGTACCGGTGCCATGTGCCCCGAGGATCAGGAAGTGTTCTATCACTTGCCGAGGCTGCCTGGCTTTCTGACCAATCAGGAAGCCAGATGGCCGGTCGTGAGGTGCCGTCCAGCTTCCTGATTGGTCAGGAAGCCAGGCTACCTAGCAACAAGTGAAGCTGGCTTCCTAGCCAATAAGGAAGGCGGGCGGCATATCATGACCTGCCTCCTAGCTTCTTGATTGGCTAGGAAGCTGGCTTCACTTGTTACTAGGCAGCGTGGCTTCCTGACCAATCAGGATGCTGGAGGCAAATCATGGCGTGCCGCCCGGCCTCCTGATTGGTGAGAAAGCCAGGCTGCCTACCAACAAGTAAAGCTGGCTTCCTATCCAATCAAGAACCCGGGTGGCATGTCATGACCCGCCTCCCAGCTTCCTGATTGGCTAGGAAGCCTGCTTCACTTGTTCATAGGCAGCCTGGCTTCCTGACTAATACGTGCTGCCCAGCTTCCTGATCGGTTTGGAAGCCAGGCTGCCTATCAACAAGTGAAGCTGGCTTCCTAGCCAATCAGAAATCCGGGAGGTGGGTGATAACCCACCGCATGGCTTCCTGATGGGAAAGGAAGCTGCCTCCATGCTCCCTCGGCACTCCCTCGAGACCTCCCTCTGACCGAAAGTTCCGGTATCGGAGGTAAGTATCAGAGCATTTGGGCGAGTACGAGTACTCGCCCAAATGCTGGGTATCGTTACTGATACTAGTATCTACTGACAAGATATATAAAGGGGAACAGAGAAAAGCATTGGACAGCTCTTTTCCCTTCAAACGTTGAGACACCAACCCTTTTGCTGCTTGAGAGATGTTCTGCATAGTGACAGCCATAACTATCCAGCTGTAGGAGCCTCCCTTTCTACCTCTGGGAAAACGAAGAAAGAAGCGCTACAACCCTGGAATACTTAATGTTTAACAGTTTGGAAACTTTGTGTAAATTTCAATGCAGACTCACTTTTGCAAAAAAAGTGAGTCTGCATTGAAATTTACACAAAGTTTCCAAACTGTTAAACATTAAGTATTCCAGGGTTGTAGCGCTTCTTTCTTTGTTTTCCCATATTGTCTACAGGGTCCCTCTCCTGATTTAGGAGCTCGCTCACCCACACCTGTTTTTTAAAGTTTTTTAAAGTTTCTCCATACTTTTCATTCCTATTGTTTTTTATCCCTTTCTACCTCTGCCCATCATCTCCAGTCAGCATCAAACCTGAAAGAAAAAATAAAAAGAACCAGAAAGCAGCCCAGAACAGATTCATAACTCAGCATTCATAATACCACAGATGAAATAAACAATAATAGTCATAAAATACAGTATTAAGTGTATAATAAGGGCAGCAGAGTCGGCAATCCCATGGGGCCACTTCTTTGTTTTCTTTTTGGCCCATACATACACTAGTCCGTCTCTACAGCCAGGTAACTATTATTTCCACTTCAGTGGCAGTTTCTATAACTACCATAGGAAGATCCTCTTACTTGAGGATACTTTGTTATATCAAATATTTGCACACACTATTTGATGGCATCATAGAGTTCATACCTCCCAACAATCTCCCTGAGATGTATTCAGGCAATGGACTCACCCCTGACATGCCACCAGTTATGCTAACCATTAAGAATGTATATGCCAAAAATGATTGGTTAAACCCAGAATTGTTTTTTCTCACCATTACTTATCCTTTATAATGACTTTTGCAAATATCAAACAAGATTAATAAGAGATAGGGTGAAGGTTTTAGTGCAGAATAACACTTTGGTAGTTAAATAGAACCTTTTTATTGATCTGACCAAAGAGAGGGACAACTGAGGAGGAAAGAGGGACAGAGGGATTTGGTTCCACATGAGGGACACGTGGGAGGAATTATATAGAAGCCTCCTGTAGTGATCCTACATACACCAGAGGCTGCTGTTTCTCTGTATTTGTCATCACAAACTAAACTACAGTGTGTAGAGCTGCCAAAACTCTGAGAAGAGGAAAGAAGAAGGGAGGGGAGGAGGTGGTACAGATTCTAGTGCTGGGTGCCTCCTCCTCCACCCTGTCGCCTTCATTGCACTGTATAGATCTGCAGGGACTTGTACTGAGTATTCTATACTCTCCTCTGACCACCATCTGCTGCTGTGCCACCCAGCATGGTGGTGAGGACATCTCCTCGGATGTGAGTGACACCAAGTTGCCTGCAAGCTACGTCTGAGAAGATTGGAAAGTGGACGGAGAAGTGAGGCCGGAAGTACACAGCTTTCCTCTGGGGAATCACCTGTTAGGGGAAGCCTGTGAGTCCAGAATTTTGTTTGCCCTAAACTGCTACTCAGGGACTTCTATTGCTGCCCATCACATGGGATGGCAGTGCCCACAAGGCTTGACTTCCAGCCAGTGTGGCCTAAATAAATAAAGAGTACAGAGCAATGCATGCACATGGGCGCAAGCAAACCTGTACGGCATCTTTTTCTTTAATTATTATTATTATACAGGATTTATATAGCGCCAATAGTTTGCACAGCGCTTTACAATATAAGGAAGACATTACAGTCACAATACAATTTAAGACAAGATGGTAAGGAGGGCCCTGCCCGTGAGGGCTTACAATCTAAAATGCCTCTGCATGCAGCTCTATAATAGCCAATAAGGGGAATTTATCAAAACTGGAGCAGACAAAATCTGAAGAAGTTGCCCATGGCAATTAATCAGCTTCTCTCTTCCATTTCCAAAGCTTAACTAAACAAAGTGAAGGATAGAAGCTGATTGGTTACTATAGGCAACTGCTCCAATATTCATAAGTTCTCCCTAATGTGTCCATGTGGTGTTTAGATCCATAATCTAGAGCAGCCTTCAGGAATGTAAACAAATGCCCCAACCTGCATTTAGAGAGGAGGGTATTGGTGTAATTTACACACATGAACATGTGTAAACATGAGGCTGTAAACTCATTCTAGTAGCTAGCTCACATAAATATTCTAGCCACTAGAATGAATTTACACACATACGCTTCTAAGTGCTTCACATGCATAACTGTGAGTATTACATGCAATCCATATATTTTTATGCTGGATCTTTCTGGCAGCAAGATCCAGCGTAGATATGAGTATTTCTGTGTGCATGGTAACCCAAATTGTGTTTTTCCGTATGTTTGCCATCATGTGTCACTGTATAGAGTTCTCTTATTTAAATACTTTTTTGTGAATCTATTGCAAATTCATTTATCTGCAGATCTTGCCAGTAATAGCACTTCCTGTTGCAGTCTGACAAAGATTAGCCAGTGCCTGGCAGTTAGTAGCAGTAAGCGCTCTTTAATTTGGAAGCTGGGCTACCTATGAGGCCTATCAGCTAGGCAGCCCAATGACCAAGTGAAGGAGCTTGTTCAGCAAGCTGACAACGCTGTTGTTAATGGCTAAGGTGAGGGTTGACATTGTCAGCCTGCAACAGGAAGTGCTATGACTGGCAGGATCTCCAGGTTAATAAATTTGAGATAGATTCACAAAAACAAATAAACCAATTGCATATGAAATCTGTATACAGTGAGGCATGACGTCATACATAATGAAACATAGATTTAGGGTTCACATACATTATGAAAGAGATTTATGGGGAGAGTGAAATACACTCATCCCTATAATGAGAGCCGACTTGTGACACTGACACACGTCGGCTCTAATGATCGAGAACTGAGTGATCACATACCGCTTATCGGTCAGTTTCCAATTTGCTCCCTGCAGAGAGTGGGGACTGTCAGTCATCGCTCCCTGCAGGGATTCCCCCCTCCCCTCTTCGTTCCATCCGGCTCTGACTAGAGGGACAGACAGGGGAGGAGCGGGCACAGCTGGCTAGGTGGATCCTGACAATATTGTCAGGCTGCACCGTGGCTCTGCACTGTCATCATATAGCGGGCAATAGTAAATGTCCTCCTGTGACCCTAAAGAGAGCTATGGGCAAAAAAGGTTGGGCCATAGTTGTCTTTTTAAGAATACTGTAGCCTGAGGATACCAACAGTCAGTGTAAGAAGATCAGCAGTTCAGGTATATGGCATGCTGCACAAAACAGAAATTCAGGTATTTCTTCTGCTCCTCGGCTCCATCTAATGGCGGGAATGTCATGTGAACAGCATCCACTTAACATATGGTTGTGCACAAGTTTTATAAACCAACACTCAAATGCATGTCTAGACAAAACATTTTTGTTTCATTTGCATAGAGTGTGGAAGGATTCGAACCTCTGATAATTTTTTTTCCTGTTATCCAGGGCTCCATTAAGCCCATGACACACTGCATGCGAAGCGAAGCTGTGAGGCACGGAGGTTCACATGCAGTGTGTGAGCTGAGCGTGGCCAGATGAAAGACAGCATCTTCAGCCAACCAGCTCGTGCGTAACAACCGAATGGACTTTGCATCGTGACGCGCAGGTTTATACTCGCGAGCCGATTGGCTGAAGATGACATTTTTCATCTTGGCACGCTCGGCGATGCGAGCTCTCACAAGCTGACGTGCGGGCGTGAAAATGTCATGACACACTGCACGCGAAGGCAGCACGCCACCGCTCTGCGCTGTTCGCGTGCATTGTGTCACAGCCTTTAGACTGTGACAATGGCATCACCACACAGGCAGTGAGGGAAAACCTCCAACCAAAACATGGACAGAAATTTCAAATGTTTTTTTTTCCAGAGCAGGCGAATGCTACAACCCCTGTCATATTTGTATTTCTGTTTATGTCCCTGTTGCATGCGTTTTCCTCCTCATTCCTGTTTAGTGAAACCATTGTTACGGGACAGAAAGTGTGGATAAATCTCTCTTACAGATGCCCAGAGAGCAGTAAAAATTCAAATACTAACGCTTCCCCACTCCATCCAAAACGGAAAAAAAAAACAAGTTTTGTCTGGACTTATACTTTAAGTAGGCAGTCCAGCACCGTGGCTGTCTAATGTATTTTGTCTATTGAGCAGTGTTTTGTTTTTTCCAGGATGTAGAAGAGATACACAGATTTTACAGGATATAGAGGATAGAAGAAAAGATTAAGAGCTCTTACACACCATAACGTAAGTGAGTTGATGTGCATTTACATGCGACTTTCAGTACGTTTTTATGCATGTTGACATCCGTTCATGTGTTTTTTTCCCAGTGTATCACTCCCTTTTCCCTTTTGTGGGTTGATTTTCCTTTCAGTTGCGCGGTTTATGGCCAATTTACATGCATTGTATTTTCCACCCCTCTCTGCTCAGTTGTGCTGTGAGTGGGGCACATAGAAAACAAACCTGTGATGCAGGGACGTGTGGTCAGGGGAGGCAGGTGAGGCAGAGCCTCACCTAGTGTTATGGAAGAAAAAGCTGTCAACACATAGCTTGGTGACCGGCTTGGGGGCAGGCAGGGGCCTCACCTAGCCCGGACCTTACTGCACGTCACTGCTGTGATGATCAGATAAAGGCTCTGCACGTGGTGTGAACTAGCCTTAAAACATGCCAAAGGAACGTGAAAAAAGCAGTATTATATTTACCAGGTATGACACTGATCCTATGCGACTCCCCTGGCTGGTCAAATAGCAGATTCCCCCATTGGCTGCTGTGCTTCCCCCTGCTGACCCCTATTCACTGCAGGACACAGTAGTGACATTAGAAGAGTGCATCCCCCACGGGCCACTGTGGTTCCTCCTACTGACTCCTTACACCCAGAAGTGTAGAATAGGTTCAGTGCATGGATACACATCAAATTCTAAGCAAATGGGCCAACAGACTGGTAAGTATAATACCATTTTCTTTACAGAATAGTTATTTTAGCATGTTTTAACCCCCTGACAAGGTCACTTTAAAAGAAACCTGTACTTAGAGAAATAAGGGGTCTACCATTGCTTCCCTCCTTCTAAGAATACTAATTTGCTGCTGTCTTCAGCAAAACTACATTCTGAGTCACGGACCTGAAATAAGCATGAATATTAGAAACTGGGAGTGAAGCAGAACTCCTTTGTTCCAGATCAGTGATTTAGAAAGTACTGAAGTCACTGAATCAGCATGACAACTAGATTATTAGCAGAGGTCAACAAGGACAGTCTCCATAGCCTGATAGTACTGAAACAAAGAAAATAGAACTCCAGTGTTTGCTAAACGTCTGTATTGGCATAATGTAACAATATAGTCTATGAAAACTACTCAAGACAATTGTATTATGGAAAAGGTTGCTGAACCCTGCTGTAAGGCAAGACATTAAATAAGTGTCAATGTACAAGCATTAGACATTTGACATGCCAGTGAACAGTAGCCCCAGTTCTTGCACCTTCAGACCTCAGATCATCCCCAATTCTTGCACCTTCAGACTTCAGATCAGCCCCAATTCCTGCACCTTCCAACCTCAGATCAGGCCCAATTCCTGCACCTTCACACCTCAGATCAGCCCCAACTCCTACTTTTTCTGACCTCAGATCAGCCCCAATTCCTGTACCTTCCGACCTCAGATCAGGCCCAATTCCTGCACCTTCACACCTCATATCAGCCCCAACTCCTACACCTTCAGACCAAGATAAGCCCCAATTATTGCACCTTCAGACCTCAGATCAGGCCCAATTCCTGCACCTTCACACCTCAGATCAGCCCCAACTCCTACACCTTCAGACCTCAGATCAGCCCCAATTCCTGTACCTTCCGACCTCAGATCAGGCCCAATTCCTGCACCTTCACACCTCAGATCAGCCCCAACTCCTACACCTTCAGAGTAGACCTCAGATAAGCCCCAATTCCTGTACCTTCAGACCTCAGATCATCCCCAACTCCTACACCTCCACACCTCAGATCAGGCCCAATTCCTACACCTTCAGACCTCGGATGAGCCCCAATTCCTGCACCTTCAGACCTCAGATCAGCCCCAATTCCTGCACCTTCACACCTCAGATCAGCCCCAATGATTGCACCTTCAGACCTCAGATCAGCTCCTATTCTTGCATATTCAGACTTCAGATCGGCCCCAATTCCTGCACCATCAGAAATGCAGGGATTTTACACTCATACCTGCTGCAGCTAACATTTTCAGTAGGAGGGGGAAGGAGGTATGCAGGCTGGCTTATCTATGTAACAACAGCAGCCTGGCCTACACTGCTACTGGGAGGAGAGCCTGCACCTGAATGGCAATAACAGAGGCTTTGTAATTGACTAGTCTATTGAGTTGTCGATTACAGCCTATGGCAGCTTGACTTCTAGGGAACAGGGGCCACCAGGAGAATCCCTTGCCATGGTAGTCCAAGCCTGCGCACATGCCATGGCAATCTTCCAGGTGCCACTGAAAAAAACTTCACATGCCTGACCTGGCGCAAATGCTCTAGGTTGCCCTTCTCTGCCTTACACAACCATATTTGTCCATAAAGTGTCATTACATTTTAAAATCTCTGTAACTAGATTCAGATTTAAAAAAAGGTCATGGTCTTTGCTATGAAAGTCTTTGATACAATGGTTCAGTTTGTTTGTATTAAGACAATATGCCATATCTATTAAAATTCATGCCAGTTGTAAGGGGCTAGTTAGGTGTCTTGTGTTTGTTTTTGCAGGTCCAATATGAAGAACTATCTTTCCTTTTATTATCTTTTACAATTTTGTGGCAATTCCTGGATCTTTACCAATATGACAGCCAGGCTTCTTTTCTTTGGAAAAGGTAAGCATTCCAAATTATGAATCATTATACGTAAATTAAGACCTGGGTTGCAGTATTTGGCTGTTATTGTCATATTTCTCTGATTAACCTATACCTGTTTCTATTGACATTCAATTTGTATCTTCTCTGCTGCTGATCTTTCAGGTTTCTACTGTATATTCATTGATCATTGTAGAATTTCCATGTTTCTCCAATGTAACAAGCTTTCTTGTCCAGGAACATAGCAAAGTGGTCCAAAAAAAGGCAACCATTTAAAAAAAGAAATCTACAATAACATTTAACTGCTAGCATCCATTCAGAGATCACCTAAGAATAGTCTGACCAGTGGAATCTAATTGGCTGTAGTTTATGACAGTGCACTTTGAACATTGCTGATTGTCCTCATTGAAGTAAACTTGTCAGGGAGGAGTATGTGGGCTGCCATTACTGACCTTTATCCAAAAATGTTAGTTGCCAGGATGCTATGCCGATTGCTGGGTTCAGTTCTCTGCCACAAACCAGAACAAAACTCAGATCTGTAAAGTCTGAGTTAAGTCAGGACTTCCTATTTGCGTGATTGTTCCAGGTCAATGATCCAAGAGGCTCAGTATGACTGTCGGGGAACATGCATGCTCAGGAGAGGTTTGAAAGAAAAGTCAGGAGGAGACCCAGGAACTTATGTGTACGTGTTAATATAACAAGGGAATTGGTAGAAGCAAAAGTGAAAGACAAAATGTCCTCAAGAAAGAGACCACAGAACATACATTAGGTCATATAGGAACTGTTCAGGTATTCATCAGCCGCAGAAGGAGCAATTGCTGAATCCAATAGTCAGTAGAGATATTCTTCTATTAACACTGTTTAGTGTGGATAGGGGAATCCAATAAATTCTTCTGTCCTAGAGAAATATTACACTGTGTGGCTAGCCTTACTTATCCAGTGTGTAGAAATACCTGCTTGTAGCCAGTCTAACAACTTTTTAGCACTGCTTTTCTGCTGTTAACCCTGGTCTATTTCAAACATTGTGCTTCTATCTGATAATTTATTACTACACCTGTCTGCCTTTTTCTACATTGCTTATCTTTGCCTGAACCTTTGACTTGTTCTCACTACTGATTTAGTAGTACAGTTATCTGCCTAATGCTGCTTACCTGTTGGCTCATTCCTATGACCTGGTCTCTGCTTGTTGACTTGGTACAGCACCTGTCTGCTTTCTGTTGCTGTCTTCCAGCTTGTTCTATCTAGGTTGACCAAAGGCTAACTGACTACACTTAACTTTACCTTTATTCTCCTGCCAAGGTGGGAAAACCTTTACTAATGGAGGTGTATAAGGCCTCATACACACAAGCAGCTGAGCAACATACATTCTGACATACAGTATATATTGGGGGCGCCTGCCTTTACACGCACATGAAATTTAATGGCATCCCAGTCTTAGTCCGTAGGTTTCAATATTGAGTTGACCCACCCTTTGCAGCTATAACAGCTTCAACTCTTCTGGGAAGGCATCCACAAGGTTTAGGAGTGTGTCTATGGGAATGTTTGACCATTCTTCCAGAAACACATTTGTGAGGTCAGGTACTGATGTTAGACGAGAACGCATGGCTCGCAGTCTCCGCTCTAATTTATCCCAAAGGTGTTCTATTGGGTTGAGGTCAGGACTCTGTGCAGGCCAGTCAAGTTCCTCCACCTCAAACTCACTCATCCATGTCTTTATGGACCTTGCTTTGTGCACTGGTGCGCAGTCATGTTGGAACAGGAAGGGGCCATCCCCCAAACAGTTCCCACAAAGTTGGGAGCATGACATTGTCCAAAATGTCTTGGTATGCTGATGCCTTAAGAGTTCCCTTCACTGGAACTAAGAGGCCAAGCCCATCCTCTGAAAAACAACCCCACACCATAATCCCCCCTCCACCTACGCACTGTTGTTGTGCCAATCTGAAGGCCACACGAAGTTTGGAGGTCTATAGCTATTGACTCTGCAGACAGTTGGCGACTTCTGCGCACTGTGCGCTTCAGCATGCGCTGACCCCGCTCTGTCATTTTATGTGGCCTACCACTTCGTGGCTGAGTTGCTGTTGTTCCCAGTTGCTTCCACTTTGTTATAATACCACTAACAGGTGACCGTGGAATATTTACGGATGGACTTATTGCACAGGTGGCAACCTATCACGCTTGAATTCACTGAGCTCCTGAGAGCGACCCATTCTTTCACAAATGTTTGTAGAAGCAGTCTGCATGCCTAGGTGCTTGATTTTATACACCTGAACCTAATGATTTGGAGGGGTGTCCCAATACTTTTGGCAATATAGTGTATTTACTTGCACACAGCCGCATATGTGTACATATGTAAATACCTGGACATAGGTTTTTTGCATCCAGGGATTTACGACCATACGCATATGCGGCTGTACACAAGTACTAGTGTATACCTGCATACAGCCGTATAATTCAATGTCAGTCTGTACGCAGGACCTGTGGGTCCCTGGTGGTGATTTACCAAAATTTGGAAGCCTTTTCTTCACCTCAGCCATCCAGGTACAAAATAGTAGGGTTCATAGATTAATTTACATAAGGGTTTACTCTGTAGACATGTTGAATACAAAGAGTGCTAAATAGGATTGCTCTTCAAGCATACGAGGAAATGTGTTGTGTTTTTGTGTGCAGATTCTTTTGCTGATACATTTTACACAATTGGGATGGTGATGCAGGCCTGCCAGCTACTGTCTGTCTTGGAGCTGCTACATATTCTGCTGGGCATAGGACAACAACCTTTCATGCCAAAGTTGTTTCAGGTAACTGATGTCACTGGTGGGTCATGTCTTTCTTTCTTTCTTGTATAAACCAGAGCCGGATCTACCTCACTGGTGGTTGTAGGTACACACATATTGGTACCCTGCTCATTTTAGTATGAACTCTTTTATTTATAAAAGTTTTAAGAAATTCCAGAAAAACAATCCAGAGTACACATAATAAAGTATAGAAGGTGAAATGAACATTTTAATCTTTGTATGACAAGATAAAAAAACATGAATCTATTGGAGGGCAGAACACCAAATGGTAGGCATATAATAAAGCATAAAAACAAACGTGCATAGATAGATAGTATGAATAATGTGATGGAATAATCAGATTTTCCACACCTAGTTTAATACCTGTAGGAAATCCAGCAACAACCTGCGTGTGAATGTTGAAATCTAAGGAGGTATTTGATTTGTAGCCTGTGAGAGGGAAGTAGTGATACATTTCCGCATGTAGGTTAGACAGAGAGAAGAGGGTGGGTCATGGTTAATAAGATATCATCTTACTAAAGGGATAATTTGAATTGTCGCCAGTGAACTAACAGTCCTGTAATATCCAGTGTCTAAAGCAGGGCACCAACTGCTCAATACAGAGAACAATAATGGACAGCCCTGCCTGATGTTGTTTAGGATTGGAAAAGAAGGGGAAGTTGCATATTGTAGTTTAACAGATGTTGAGGGAGTGGCACATTATAGCTGCAATGAAAGGCCCCGGTATAACTGGATGTCCCATAACAATCCTCATGTAGGGTCAGCTAAGGTTATCAAAAGCTTTTCTCTGCATCTTAAGTTAAACCCAGGTCATTTCATATGGTCCCACAAGCAAATATGTAAATTCATTCATTTGCTGGATATTCAGAAAACAGCTTTGTGTAGATATGCTTCATAATACCGTTGTAAAATAGGAAAATGGAAGATGTACGACACTGCTTGATTTCCTGAATGCTGAACCGTATTCATTCAAAGGTTCAGAAAAGCTTACTGACCAGGAAGTTTTTTCTTCTTCTCATCTTGGCAGAGTATGTCATTTAACAGATCATTTTTAGGAAGTCAAACAATGCAGCTTTCACATATTTCCCTTTAGTAGTGTATTTTCTTTTTAACCCTTATCTTGTGAATCTATTTTTCTGCTTATCACCATACACTTACAACCCAACACTACCCAACTATATGCAATGTCTGCAGCAAGTAATACGGGGCAACCATACCTAAGAAACAAGTCAGCTGGAATAGGTCAGTAAGTTTAACATAGAAGGGGATTAACCCCTTCGTGACGGGAGACGTACAGTGTACGTCTTGTCACTTTGTGCCTATATGACTGGCCACGTACACTGTATGTGACGAGTTATATCAGGCTTTGTAATGCCGGTATTTGCTGATTCTCAGCATTTAACAGTCATTCATTAATGTCTCAGTATTGAGGCATTAATTAATGAAATAATTAAGCTTTTTGTAAAAGCTTCTTCCTTTCATTAATGAAAGAATGAAGCCGTTACATGCAAATAGAGGACCGCAATTTGCGATCCCGTATTTGACAGCTCAAAATAGCAGAGAGGCAGCAGTGACTCACCTCACCTCTCTGCTATTTGTTTTGACAGCTCGAGAGCCCGATGTTTAGATACATTTCACTGAAAGGATACAATGTATATCTTTTGAGTGAAATGTATCATTTCTGATCGTCTAGGCACGATCAAAGAGCTTTTAGTGAGATCTGAATCTGACTAAAGTCAGGATCAGTCTCTAAGGTTATTATTAGCTGTTCCTAAGTTTGGATCAGCCTAATAGCCAAAAATAAAATAAAAAAGTTAATTTATCAAGCTGTCATAGTGATTGCTTGATATAAACTGACAAGAAAAAAAAAAGTTTTTTTATTTTATTTTTATTTTTTTTACAAAGTGTAAAAAAATTAAAATAAAGTGTAAAACAAAATTAGGAAAATATAAATTATATATAAATATATTTTTTATACTATAATTAATATAAAAAAATTCTAAAAAAAATAATAATAATCAAAACTTGTGAAAAAAGTGTTTTCTTCTAGTTTTTTTCCTCATTTTTTTTATTTTATTCAAACTAAGTGAGGGGTTAGGTACACATATGTGATATAATTATATAGCCCTATCTGTCCTCTAAAAAACAATATATAATATGTGTGGGTACATTTAGTAAGAAAGTATATTACTGCTGTGGAAGAATCACACAGCAAAAATGTAAAAAATGTGTCAGTCATTTATGAACAGAACCTGAAAACTAGCTCAGTCATGAAGGGGTTAAAGCTGTGTAAAGAGTACATTATCAGAGAGAGACCATTGATTGCCTGGTTTTATATTTATAACATATTATGTATTCTTTTATACGTTGTGAAGAGGAAGAAGCTTGAAAGCATTTTAAACCATAGGTTTCCTCTTGTTTTTCAAATGAAGAAGTACTCTTGAAACATCAGAAATAATATCACATGTCATGAGATAAAGCCAACAGATGTAGGAAGAGCACAGCTACTGACCTGATTGTTATAGCCCAGGATTAACCCCTACCACCCCTACCCTACCAAATAAGTTTCTCATATTAGTCATATTATTTGTGCATGGATGAAGGGCAGTGTATGGTTGTTACACATATATTTCCTTTTCGTTTACAGGTAACAGAGAGGCTAGTCATCCTCTTTGTGGTCATCACCAGCCAGGAAGAAATGCAGAGCAAATGCATAGTGTGTTTTCTCTTCTTTCTCTGGAACCTTTGGGATGTCATAAGGTAAACAGTACTTTGTATCCTATGATAATGATTTCAGACAACTATATACTAATAGTCCAATCACTTTTCACAAACTTGACACTTTGTGTGGCAACTATAGACACTAATAGATATACAGTATATCGACATGAAGTCCATAATGCTCAAACTGTTATATAACCTGTTGAGGACATGAATGTATACAGCAGGAACGTGCGGTCAGGGGAGGCAAAAGCTGTCAGCTTCAAATTTGAAGCTGACAGCGTTTTCTCCATTCAGATCGGCTTGTAACAGGTTGCACAGCAGGGAAAGCCTCCCCGCTGTGTAACCTGTCATGGACGGAGCGCTGCCTGTTAGATACAGGCAGCACTGCATCCAGCTTGACAGGTAGTTAGGTTACAGAAGCAGAGGGGAAGCCCGCTGCTGTGTAACCTAACTAATGAGGCAAGAGCTGTCACAGCCTCTACACTCTGTGTTAAAGGCTTGAGCTCTGTGGATGGTTTGGATCAATGGCAAAGCGCCATTGGTCCAAGCTGTCCAGTCAAAAAAAGAAAAAAAAAACAAAACACTGAGGCCATCCAACTAGCTTGGTGACTGGGGGGGCTTCGGCGGGCTGGGGAATGCCTCACCCAAATCTGAAGGTACCGCACGTCACTGGTATACAGGTCACTTGGTCCAAAAACAAGATGGTGGTCACAGAACATAATAAATGCCTTACTTTTATTGCACAAGTATGGACACACCCTGCAGAAGCCAAGAGCGAGAACTGCTGCAGTGTGAACAAGGTCGGTGCTGTGCATCTACATTTCATTGTGCATCATGACCAATCAGTTTTATTAAATCATTTTGGACTTCTCAACAGTAACAGCAATCAACACAACCATTTAAATGTGTTTATGTTAAGGCATATGACCTCATACTGAAAAGCTTACTGGTCATTGCTTGTGTCTGCACAGATACCCATCCCATCTGTTATCAGTGCTTGGAACAGATTACCCAGCTCTTACTTGGCTCAATCACACATTATGGATCCCAGTTTACCCTTTGTCATTGCTGGCTGAAGGTAAATACATTCATTTTACTGAGCTTACAACAAGTCTAGAAGTGGTTCTAATAAGTCACAACAGTGTCTGTTTTATTTGATTTCTTTAAAATGGGGAAATAAAACTTACTGCAGTTTCAGTACACACATAATATTTGTATCAGTATTGAGTGTAACTGAGATCTGGACAAATAATATTTATTAATATTGTGGGCAATAACGCTTATTTTTCCATATATTGTTTTATTGACTTTAACACTTATTCATATGCACACTTTATCTAGATACAGAAGACAGCAAAAAAAGACAGTTTCTTATCGTTAAACTTGTCACAAAGGAAATCTGGGGCCTGCCACTGAAGAATTCTTTTGAAAATGGTAGTTGTCTTGTAGTTGGCACAAAGGTTTAAATACCTAACCTGGAACAAGCATGCAGATAGAGAAGTCAACAATTCTAATTTGCATTCTTATTCCAGGCCTTTGTCTATCCAAAGGCCGAGTCAGCCAGGCAGCTTTCATTTTCCAAAGTGCGGTTGAGCAATGAAAGCCTATAGATTTTCTTATCATTGAGACAAAAAGAGCTGCTACATGACACTGGTGCTATCTACTGAGAGGTGTGAGAACTGAGAAACCTTCTATGATATATGGAAGGCCTGGTCACAGAGGATTTCCATTTTCTTGGAAATTTAATTTTAAACATGTTTGTTGAATGGATATCACAATAATTGCTATAGATGTTTAGTTTATGTTGTTTTTTCTGCTTTTGTTAAGTGTTTCACTAAGATGACTAAAGCAAAAACCAATTTGTCTTGCAGTGTACACAGTCTATGAATCGCTCCCCTATTTTGAATCCTTTGGCACATTTTCCTACAATATGGTTCTGCCATTTGCTGTATCTATTTATTTCCCATATATTTTAAAGGCATACTTGACTCTTCTACCCGCAGGTAAAACAATCAGGTGATACTATATAATTTAGTATCTTTTCTGTAAACAAATGGCTAAACTGAAAATATCGTTATTCAGGAATGCTGTACACGTGCAGCCACCTCTTTTCTGAAAGAAGACTTTATCTCAAAGTGCGTAATGGAAAGATGAAAATGAAATAATGGAAAGGTAAGAAAACTATATCACACGATTCCACAAAGTTATCTAAATATTGCAGACTAGACATGTGCAATTTGTTTTGTTCCGAATCAAAATTCAGATGAATTTTACGAAATTCGGACACATTCGAATTTCCGGGTTCCCAATGCATCCGAATATTTCCGAATCCGAATTTCAGATCTCGTCCTAATTTCGTTCAAAAACGAAACTGAATCAGACATGTGACTTTTCTGGCCAATCAGATGTGTTTTTTGGTTTAATGCGTCCAAATGGGTCTAAACACGAATGAACATTACAACATGGGAGCCATATACAGTATACACATATAATACTAAAGCTGAGGCTCCCAGATCCGAATGGTATTCGGGATCTGAATTTCCGAATTGCATTCGGGTCTAAGAGCCTCAGCTTTAGTACTATACTGTATCTATATGACTCCCAGACCCGAATGGCAATCGAGAGCTCCTGAATGCAATTCGGAAATTCGGATCCTGAATGCCATTTGGGTCTGGGAGCCATATACATATATCACTAAAACTGAGGCTCCCGGACCCAAATGCAATTTGGAAATTCAGATCCTGAATGACATTCGAGTCTAGGAGATTCAGCTTTAGTATTAATATTTGTATATGGTGTTCTATGGTATTCGCAACTAATATTCGTAAACTCATCTGAACATAACGAAATTCGGATTTCGGCCAAATCTGAAACCCGAACCGAATTGAATTTCGGATCCAAATCCTGAATTCCGAAATATCCAAACCAAATTTTTCCGCAACTTACATGTCTTTTGCAGATGTATTATTTCCAGCTGTCTCTTGACATGTGTTTCAATAACATAAAAGAGAGAACACTTCTTACATACTGTTTTTGAATAGCAAGTTTATGTTACCCTTCAGTACAGATTCAAAATCTAGTAAGGAGGTTAACTGCACCAGGAAACATTCTGTCCCTTTCCTTGTTCACTGGGTTATCCTTAAAATACATACTCACATGTCCATTGAATACAGCATTGTCCTGCACCAATCTGCCCGGGTCATACGCCACCATCTACTTTACTTACATCATGATGCGCATTACCATTGTGTGTCAAAAGGGGACTGGCTGCAGAAATCCAGAGGAAACAGCTGCCCCCTGCTGACACATAGGGGGGCGCATCCAATGTAGTGTACCCTGCTGCCTCCTGGGATTCGTATTGTGTGTATTCGAGGAGGTTGTGGGCATCTGGGACATAATTCTGGGAATCCCCGGGAGTGCCAGAACAGACAAGACAAAAAGGTAATAAATAATAAATATATGTGCAATTGTGAGAGAGGAGGGGGTAGGAGTGCAATGATGAAAAGTGGGTGGGGAGAGAGAACTCTCCAGTATCCACCAAAATTAAAATACCAGTTTTGGTTGGTGTGAACCTTTCAAATGCTGTTTTTGACATGTCTAAATGTGTTCTCTTTTTAGGTTTCTTTTTGACACAAAGTTCTGTGGATGACTTAAGTCTAGTAATTCCCTAAAAGGGAGTATTGCAAAAAAGGATCTGTCACAATGAAGGCAATGCAAGAACCAAAGATTTCAGTCAAAATAGCCTTGCTCCTTGCAGCTACACAAAGGGGATCAATGTTTCCCTGTCTGCTACAGTTTGCTTTACCTGTTCCATATACTCATGGCAAATTGATGCTGTAAACAAGGTTCTAAACTATAAAGCAGAAATGATTAGGGGGATGTTGACTACAAGTGACTTTTTCAATGTGGTTTTAATTTAAAAAAAAAAACCCATACTTGTTTAGTAATATTAAAAAGATCAAATTCTTGTGACCTTCCTAATGTTAAATATGTTTCTATGAATGTTATTTTTTTTAGACTGCTTATATAATTTAATCCCTAATGCTGAACTGCAGGTGCACAATACATCTAACAGGAAATATCCTAAATGGTGCTGAAATACCTGGTTTCATTGATAAACTCATTGATTTATTCAACTCAATGGTCTTCAATTTCATTGATTGGTTCCACTCAATGGTCTTCAATTTCATTGATTGGTTGCACTCAATGGTCTTCAATTTCATTGATTGGTTCAACTCAATGGTCTTCAATTTCATTGATTGGTTCCACTCAATGGTCTTCAATTTCATTGATTGGTTCAACTCAATGGTCTTTTTTTTTCATTCTATGTAAAATTGTCTTCCACATTTTTTTTGTGCCTCACAAAGAGTGTATAGACTGAAGTTTCACTACTGGCCATGTGACTGCTTTCAAACCACAACTCCTAGCCGGCATTGCACAAGTTCCATATTGAAAGTCAGACAGCATGGAAAAAGAGGATTATGAAATAGGCTAGGAATGTCCCTAGCATGTTCTTTCATTGTTACTGCTGGTGAAGCTGAAAAAGCATGCCTATATGCAGTATTATAAGTGGGGTTTTATGTATTAAAAGGCAGACAAATCTCTGCATATTTGCTACAAATGTTGGTTTATAATATGTCTCGAGACCGCATTTGTAATGATTAAATATCATACAATATAAGTATCAAAAAGGATAAAAGTATAGTTAACCACACATGTAGATTTATCATGCTTCTTGGCTTTTTCAGTTACTAAGAGTTCGACTCTAACAGTCAAAAGGTGCCCATCAGCCTGTTATGCCTTGTACCATTCTGACTGTATATAACTTTTTCAAAATAGACCCAAACTCCATACTTTCCAAGATGATAAAGAGGAACTATGTTTAGCACAAAATACGTAGGCAAAGGGCGTATCCCTGCCACTCTCCCAGCTTTACAGACCATAAAGACACAGATGTACACAGCTGTGCACAAAAGAGAACTATGAGGTGAGTGATTTCCACTCATCCTCATAGTTAGAGCCGACCTGTGACAAAGAAGCTGTCACAGGTCGACTATCGATTGGGAAATGAGGAAAAACATGTAGCAGATCCACTACCCAATCGTCTCCCTGCAGTGAGCAGTGACGGTCAGTCACGGCTCCCCTGCAGGGATTCCCCCCTTCCTTCTCTGATCCTCTAGCGCTGACTGGAGGAACGAACGAGGGAGGGGGTGGGCACAGCTGGCTCTGCCTCTAGATAGGCAGAGCCCGCTGTCGCTCACGCAGCTGGGTGGATCACGACAGTATTGTTGGGATCCGTCTCGGCTACGGCGCTCTCAGTATATCGCGGGCAATAGCCTGCTATATACTGAGCTTTGGGTCATGGGAGGAGGTTAGCATATGTCCTCCCGTGACCCTAAAGAGAACTATGAGGAAAAACACTTACCCCAGAGTTCTCTTTAAATAGCATATCTAAACCCAAAAACAGCTTTCCAGTTATATTTATTGCCTGCATGTGTTTTCTTTTTGTCTGGCTTCTTTCTCTTTATTTTCACCTGGTAATCCTATGAAAAACACACTTCCTGTCCTTTTATATCTATGTTTTTTTTTTCTCCACTGTATCTATGGAAGGAACCATGGTTGTCACACAGACTGTACTTTAATGTCTGCTTCCTTTATCATCACATGGTGTAGCAGTTGCCCATGTCAAACATTCGGCTTCTATCTTTCATTTTCAAAACTTAACTAAACAAACTGAAGAAAGAAGCCGATTGGTTTCTAGGGGCAACTGCTCCAGATTCTGTGTGCTCCAATTTTGAAAAATCCCCCCGAATGTTTTTGTGCTTCTTTTAAACTCACAGGATGAGACAAGGGCACTGCATTTCTGGCAAGATCATAGTGCATTTTCTGTGCTTGCTGAAAATGTTCTTAGCCTGACAAATGAAAACTAATGCAGTCACCACATCTAAAGAATGGTAAGCTGCAATATATTACATTTTGTTTTTGGGTTTAGATATTCTTTATTGTAACAGGTTTGGTAAATAGTACAATGTTAAGTTCTATACATAAGACTATAAAGAGGGATAACAGATCAGGAAAGAGGGATGGAGAAATTTGTTTCCAAAAGAATGACAGTCCTAAGGGTCAGTTGGGATGTACGTAACACTCATGTATATATTTTTTTAACAGTGAACCAAAATACGGAGACCGGTGTACAATTTTGTTTTTTGTAGTATGCTTTGATATTGACTTCATTTATAATAAAATTTGTTACAATTTTACAATAAAACAATTTCACAAGAATATCTTTTTGTCCATTTTCTAAAATATGTTCTATAAATTAACTAACTATAACTGTGGTATGTATCTATTCTTTGGATACATTTCTGAGAGAGAATCAAATGTATCTAAAACTCAACTTTTTATGTAGATATACAATGCCTGGTCATAAAAAAAAAGTCACATACTCTAATATTTTGTTGGACAGTCTGTTGCTTTGATTACGGCATGCATTCGCATATCGTTTGGATAAGCTTATGCAATGTCCCAACATTTATTTCCATCCAGAGTTGCATTCATTTTTCACTAAGATCTTGTAGTGATGATGGGAGAGTTGGACCACAGCAGAAAGTCTTCTCCAGCACATCCCAACGATTTTCAATGGGGTTAAAGTCCGGACTCTGTGGTGGCCAATCCACGTGTTAAAATGATGTCTCATGCTCCCTGAACCCTGGCATTGTCATCTTGGAATATGCCCGTGCAATCAGGGAAGACAAAATCTATTGATGGAAAAACCTCGCCATTCAGTATATTCAGGTAGACAACTGACCTCATTTTTGTGGGGGACATAACATTGCTGAACCTGCACCTGACCAACTGAAGCAACCCCTATAGTTTTTACCTATTTGCTAAACTAAATCCAAGTGGTGACTTTTTTTTTTTTTTTTGGCCAGGCATTGTATAATATTACTACGCAACCTTTTTGTGATTTAATTTCATAGTTACATAGTTAGGTTGAAAAATGACACAAGCCCATCGAGTTTCATGAAGCTAATATGCAGCCCCTATAGTTTTGAAACCTGCCCACAAATATGAATGTCATTTCTGTACTACTTGGCGGTGTTCTGAATGCTGTTAATGTACAGAACTCACATAATCCAGTTTTTGGCTTACTACTTTTCAGCTAAATCTATCCAGGGCCTGACGTCAAATTACAAACAAACCTGCAATATGTTTCTTTTAAAGTGAAATACTTTCCAAGACTCATGGATGCATAAAGGGATGCCAGGCCTGCTCCTTTTTTCAAACATTAAAAGGACAGGTGGTAATAAAAAAAAAATGCAGACCCGCACACTCAGCAGTCACTTTGAGAAAGACAGTGGTAAGGATATCATCAATTTCAATTTGTATTTTTTAAAGGCCTGATTTTTTTTTCTCTATTCATTTCCTTTTTTACAGTAGAATTTAGCCACATACGTTTTAATTGTGTTCTTTTATATTTGTTACCCAGTGGAATATCCTGGTTAATGCAATTGTTTAATACATTCTAAAACACTTTGCTTCCTCATGTCAGAGCCTTCAGCAAAAAAAAAAAAAAAAAAAAATGGCAGGACAGCGCCAAGAACTGAGAAGCTCCTAAGACAGACTAGAAGTCAGAGACAGCAGTGCCTTAGATCTCACACTGCAGTTTGAGTAGCCTGGGATTACATGGAAGTGACATATCCACACCTCGGTCTACTTTTCAAGATGGGGAACAGAACACTTGCTCTATATATCAACCTACAAGCTAGAGTGAAAATATATCATATCATCTTGATATTGATGTTGGAGCTCTTCTTATTGTGGAAACTTAGAAGGAAAACCGTAAACCTGACCCTCCCTTACACAACAGTCACACAGTGCCAACAAACTTTTATTCTTCACATGGAAAAACAACTCTATCACATTCCTAGGGGTACAACTATCCACAAACGCAACCAAATTTTACTTCCTCAACTTCGAACCACCTCTCCTCCTATTTTCATTTACAATCTACTAGCTCCCTTCCCCAATTCACTTCCCCCGTCCCTTCACCCAGATATGTATAAACCCTATTTTAACACAACTACATTGGACAATGAAACACGATAAATGCCATCAAACTCTTCCTGTCACACAGGCAAAGACAAAGATACCTGACACTAAAGCTGAATTCCACATTCTTTAACCACTTCCAAGACCAGGTGTTCAGACCCCCTTCCTGGCCAGGCCATTTTTCAGTATTCAGCGCTGCGGTACCTTGATTGACGTTTATTCTGTCATGCAACGCTGTACTGAAATGAATTTTATACAATTTTTTGGGGACAGATAGAGCTTTCTTATGGTGGTATTTAATCACCAATGCGGTTTTTATTTTTTACTATATTAAGGAAAAATTATTGCAAATTTGTGGGAAAAAAAGTTTCCCCCCCCATTATATTAGGAAACAATGATTATTACCCATATTTTTGGTAAAATATAAAAGACGGGGTCACGTCGGGTAAATAGACACCAAACAGGTCCTGCTTTAAAATTGCGCAGACTCGCGAAATCGCAACAAACTACCATACCCAAAATTGGCCATAGGCAACACTTTAAAAGCTTTTGAAGCTCATCAGTTTAGTGTTATCAGTGATTGATGGCCCTAGAATTATTGCTCTCACTCCGGCGTTCGCAACGATATGTAACATGTACGGCATACGTGCAAAATCGTCGTTTTCGCACGTATGCGCACCAGACGCCTGTTTGCATGCGTGTATGTATGTATGGGGGGGGGAGGGACTTTAAAAAAAAAAATTTAATTCTTTTTTATTTGTAACTTTACATTTTTAGGGGGAGATATAAAATGTTTTTTTTTCACTTAACTTTATTGCTATCACAGAGGGGGCTAAGAAAACCCCCTTATGTGATAGCAAAAAAAGTGACAGGTCCTCTTTATGGAGACATCAGGGGTCTCCAAGACCCCTAATGTCACGTAGAACCCCGCTGAAGAAGCAGAGATCTGCTTCATCAGCTTCTCTCCAGCATCTGAAGCTGGAGAGTGACACAAGAATGCGGAAGTGATGTAATATACATCAGTTCCGCATTCTGACAGCGGAGAGGGGACCGGAGGGAGCTCGTGTACCGACCTCCCTCTGATCCCCTGTGACAGAGGCAGTATGCTGGTCCCGGGGTCGCAACGGGCACATCGGAGCCCGGCACCAGCGGGAGGCTCGGAGGACCTCATACAAGCCGGGACCTCATACAAGCGATCCGCCGACTCTATAGCCGGCGGATCGCTTGTATATTAACGGGCATCGCTGCCTGTTTTCAAATATTGGCATTTGCCGCTCGAGCGCGCCCAGCGGCGCTGGCGAGGGGGCGGGGCTGAGCGGATGTCTAAAGACGTCCGCTCAGTACTGATATTTATATTTCGGTAGTCGCTGATAACGAGTACCGATACCAGTGCTTTTTTGTAGCATGGAGCCGGCTTCCCGGCCAATCAGGAAGCCAGGTTGGTCTGGTGCAGATGTTTTCCTAAACCTGTTTGGTGGTAGAATTTGCACTATAGCTAGTGCCTGCCATGTTGACCTTTACACAGGGCAGTAGTATGTATTGGTGCCTTTGTGATGTCAAGGAATTCTGTGCTCACTTTCACTCAGCAGACTCCTGTAAATAAAAGCTTTTTGTCTGTTCCAAACTAGTTCCTGATGCTATATACCAGTAGTGGTGAACCTTGGCACTCCAGCTGTTTTGGAACTACAAGTCCCATGAGGCATTGCAAGGCTCTGACAGCCACAGACTTAACTCCCAGAGGCAGATGCATGCTGGGATTTGTAGTTTTGGCACAACTGGAGTGCCAAGGTTCGCCACCACTGCTATATACAGTTCCAAAGTACATCATTGTGCTGGTCCGCCATAAGTCGGAGCTTCCAAACACTTTGAACTCCAAAACTTCGGCAATGCAATAAATAGTGTTGAATGCTTCATATGTGAATATGAGAGAGTGCCTTGCAAGACTATTATATAGTGAAACCTCATGTAACGCTTTTGATAGTTATGCAGGTAATGGGTTGGCCCTTTGGCATTGCTGCAGGCATCAACTGTAGAGCATGTTGGTTATGTGTTTAGATGAATCACTGAATTAAGTTTTACTTGCTTAGAAGGACATTAGATGTATATATACAGGAATAAAGCATCAGGAAAAATATAGATAGAACTTCCTGTATATACCGTGTTTCCCCGAAAATATGAGTGTCTTATATTTTGTTTGCCCTAAAAACACACACCAGGTCTTATTTTCAGGGGATGTCTTATTTTATTTTTGAATGTGCAACAAAATGGTCAGTATCGGTAATGCTGATCCCTTTCTTTCACTTTTTACAGGCGGAGTGCATCTTGTATCACTCCGCCTGTCACAGTAACCGGCGCTATAGGGGAAGTATCGGCTAATGCAGCTCTGCTCCCTCCACCGCCGCAGCCTTGCTTTCTACAGCGCCGGCTTCCTTTGCCATCAGGGACAGCGGTACCAGCAGTGGGGACTACAACAGCGGACAGTGCGGTAAAGTACGGTACCATTTACCGGTACACATTACAGTACCGTACCATTACATGAAGCAGTGCCTTCAGGGGGACAGCAGTTGTTGAAGTATGGTACTGGAGTGCTCCCTGTCACTGCGCTGGCCGGAGGGAGTCCCCTGTCATCCCCTAATATAGTATGTCCCTGCAGGCTGATACCATCTCTCCTGCAAGTTCCCTCTCACATGCTACCACCAAACTAGGTCTTATTTTCGGGGTAGGTCTTATATTACAGGAATTTTGAAAAATTGTGCTAGGTCTAATTTTCGGGGAAACAGGTATCATAGACAAGTAAGCATAGAGATCAACATTGCACTACAGCGCCATCTAGTGCTCAAAAGACGTAACGGTACATTAGCATATGCTGCTGCAATTCACACAGAGCAGGGGTATTATAATAAATGTTACCCTGTGTGGATTTGTAATGGTTTGTGTACTGTTAGTTGGCATTCACTTTGAAGCATACACTTTAAAGTAAATGTACAGGAAAAATTCTATTTTTAGTTTTGGATATAGTAGGCAATGGTTAAAATCCTTGTCAGTTTTTTGCTGTGTTCCACTGGGGAAATTTCCCTTTGCTTCCTGTCCTGGAGATGCAACTGAAGGGAATTTCTCTCAGAAAGTTTTCGCTGGAACTGGTGTCCCTATCGGAAGATTTGCCCTCATCTCCTGTTCTTGTGACAAGTTCAACATTTTGGATTCACCATTACTTTCTATCCCGGTGATAATGGTCATCAGGATGGTGATGCACGCAATCAGAGAAGCAGGAGGTGGGTAGAGGTAACAGCGCCACCATGCAGTCCTCTGCAGACTCTGCACCTTTCTGCCCAGCTCTTAGCAACCTGGGACCCTTTGGCTGGCATTTCGCCCCGCTCTTGGATAACCAGTGACAGAAAGGAGGCACACTGCAAACATAGTGCAGCAAAGTGGCCAGTATACAACAAACATGCCGCTCTGCCTGCTGTCCCCAACGTGACCCAAAGAGATGCCGCCTCATTAAAGCGACGGCCCTGAGCCCATCTATTTGCAAACAGACAGCAATAAAAAAAAAACCTGACAGGACCTCTAAACCCTCACACTATAAAAAAACTAAAAATAAATAAACTTACACAAATGCAATAGTGTCTGTACTACATAAACATGGAACGAATACTGAAATAATAAATGCCATAGTTGACATAATTAAAGTTTAATGAGACAAGCAGTGAATGTATGCTTTATTAACTAATATATCAGATAATGTTACAGGGGCACTGCGGAAAAAAAATGTAAACATGCTGCTTTACTTGACCAGAGATGAAAAAATGCCTCTGTGGTCAGTGTAACAGTTTAAATGTTGTGCAAAATCCGACATTCTGTACTGCTATGACTTGGATCCACTGATGAGACTTGCAATTTAGACCTGTATGATGGAACGCCACAGCATTGTTCCTGGCCCGACAGTCCTGTGATAGGTGAATCCATTACCAGCCAAAAGCTCTTGTCCACACTGCTTTCCTTTTAAACTCTGGAAGGCCCCTTAAGTTGATAAGTGTAGCTAAAAAATAAATAAGAAAGAATAAATAAATATAAAATGTCATTTATGCTCAGCAGCAACACAACACATCATTGTAATGAGTTTGTATGTTCTCCCTGTGCTTGTGTGGGTTTCCTCCAGGGTCTCTGGTTTCCTCCCACACTCCAAAGACATGCTGGAATGTTAATTGGCTGCGGTCTAAATTGGCCCTCTATGTAAGCATGTGAGATAGGGACCATAGATTGTAAGCTCCTTGAGGGCAGGGACAGATGTGAATGTGCATTATGTAAAGCGCTGCATAATTGTCGGCACCATATATAAATACCAGTAATAATAATTGCAATGTTAATTACAGGAAAAACAAAGATCAATCAGAATATCCAGATCTATCCACCCTAGATTCATAGAACCTGATCTGAATTGAACCAATACTGTGATTTACTGACTGGTCCACTCATCTCCAATGTTTACACAAAATATACTAACTTATTTATTTATATTACATTTCTAACCACAACAAAAGTCAAGCTTGTAGAAAGTATCAACATTAACAGTCCCGAGACTTTTTCTTGTCCATGTATCACTCCTCCTCATGTATCACTTGCTCCTCCCTTTTAGAATGTAAGCTCTCAGGGGCAGGACCCTCCTTACCATCCTGTCTTGTATTGTGATTGTAATGTCTTCCTTATATTGTAAAGTGCTGTGCAACCTGTTGGCGCTATATAAATCCTGTATAATAATAATAATGTAAAATATATGACAGCATGTGTACTACTGATGCATTTTCTGCAATTATTCAACTACTGTATATATGCCAAGATACCATTTTGTTAGTTTCTGGCATAGAAGTCATTTTGTTAGATACAGTATATAAGAAGTATCATTGCCATTCAGCTGACATTGCACATAGGGTTGGCTGACTCTGTGCCAGGCTAGTAATATACTACCCTTTACAGTAAAAGCTAAATGGAAGGCAGCAGAAGATTTCCGCTTGGCTTCTATTCAGCATTATAACACTCTTTTCATTACAATGTCAATAGCCATTGTGTTCATAGAAACACTGATTGCACCAAAAAAATGCATCTAATATATTCTTTGTGTTCAGTGCTTGCAGAAATGTGTATACCTATTGATATCTGCATTCACTGCAGCCATTAATAAACCTGATCAAATATCCATGCAAGTGCACTCCAGCTATACAACAAATTAGTAACATATACCAAACCTTTCAATGTTGTACTTGAGGATTCTGACAAGGCTCCTTCGGGACTTTCAAGGATAGTCATTAGCCAGTCTATAAACTTAGGAAATAAAGGATAAGAAGTGTAAAAATGTGTTATCTTAGCACTTTGATACTTAAACGTACAGTGTAGTAAAATCCATGGATAAAAGTATAAATGAGTCTGCCCACTTTAAATGGTAATTCCCACCAAATGTGAGACACTGAAATTACCCCCAGAAATCGGTCCCCTCTCCCCCTCTCCCCCCGCCCATAAGTTATATTTTTAGGGGAACTGCCATTAACAAACCCGCTGCAGCCGGTGTATGATCCGTACAGGGCACTACAGCCCGGTGCCCTGCATATGGAATAATGCCCCCAGTCACAGGTTGGGGAAGGAGATCTGTAAGTGCAACTGCGGCAGAACTGTGCTGTGTGGCAGAGCTGTGTAAGCCTCAGCACTAAATGGACAGACATACAAGTCGTTTTTGAAGGTAAAACAGCTCTCATATACTGTATGTGTATTTCATCTGTGAATTTAGCTTTTAGCGTGGAATTCTGCTTTAGAATATTTTAGAGTCACAGACCCAGAACAAACATGCACCAAGTGTAAAGGATATATCACGAATCTTTATCTGTATACTTGTTCCAAGTCAGTGGAATAATGAAGCCAAAGTGCTAGCATGACAGCCAGGCAACAAGCCTTTTCAGAGGGAGAAGCAATCAATGCCAGCCTACTTGTATTTCAAGACATGCTTCTTTAAACCATTTAGAGGCAATGATCAAAAAGCTTATTAGACTAATGTACCATGGCTGTTTTTTTCAGAGCCAAAAAAAATCTCACTGCTCCAATTCCTTAGCTGCCATCAGGACTCCCCAGGTGCTGGTCCAATAGGTGCGCTCTCCACCTTAGAATGCAGCAGCATACAAACAGACCGCACTGTCCAGAGAATTCCAATATTCCAGACTTTATTGAAATTCACAGCAAATCCAGTATAACAGTGAATAACGCAGCAAATACCAGCACTGCACACCCCCAACCAGCTACAACCTTTAACATGTTTCACCCGTAGGCTTATTCATAGAGGTTGTAGCTGGTTGGGGGTTTGCGGTGCTGGCATTTGTTGCTTTATACACTTGTATCCACTGTTATACTGGATTTGCTGTGAATTTCAATAAAGTCCGAAGTATTCAACTTCTCTGGATAGTGCGGTCTCTTCGTATACTACTACCTGGCTGTTTTTTTTTAAACTTTTATTATGCTCCAGGATAGTGAGCTCTGTCTGCTGTAGATCAACATCAGAGCTCTCTTCACTTCAGCTTAAACAGAATCCTTCAGTGAAAACCAGAATTGAATCGTGTATAGTAAAATGTCTTTCTTTCACACAGTGCTTATATAAGGGCACATTTTTAGCATTTCAAAAAATGATGTAATCACGCACTTATCAGTTCAGAGCTACAGAATGACCATGCAATATAATAGTATCCCACTAAAGAGTAAACAACTATAAAAGAGACGGCCGAGTTATTTATCTCGCTGGGTAACTGGAAGTTATACCTTCTGTGTGTGTTCCTTCCAAGGCTCTTTGGCTAACAATAACTGTAAACTCAATGGGAGGGTAGTTAAACACCCATGTACAGTGACAATGTCCAGGGATTGACTTCCCAAACAGCCAGGGGTAAGTGCCGCTTCATGTTTACATGGACTCCAGCTACCATATACTCCGAGTAGCAAAGGAGCTGCATGATCAGCCCAAGCCACCACAGATGCTGCAAAAACTTGCAGAAAAAAGTCCAATGCCTGCACAGGAAATAAAGGAATAACATTAGTACACTGAAGAGTAACATTATTTTACCCTTTGCCCTAATCCAAATACATTCATGTACCTCGCTGACTGGAACATTGTGCACTTGGGTTGACTTATGGGCTATATTTCTTATGTGACTGATGAGGTCAATCAGCCATTCCATCCTCTTTAGAACACCTGTAAAGTGGTTGAAGCAAAACAACACATATCATCATTGCACCTACTCCACGTTAAGGCGACTGCTGCTGGTACTGCGCACAATGACAATGTAGCAAATCTAGCTCCTAGATGCAAATATTAAGTGCCAGTTGATTTACCAGCAATACAGTGGCTAGGGAGGCTGAGGCAGTAAAGAAGGCATTGGGTTTTAAACTGATGTCTTATTAGTAACATCAGCATGATCTATGCAATATACTTATCAGGAAACAAAAAAATCATTAACCATTAATAGAACCAGACAGCAGGTACTTCCAGGTTTTTCGCATGCCAGAATGTTTATCCAGTTCAGCTGATGTAAATGAATCGAGGGGTGCACCCGCATGAAAATGTTAACCCAGCGTCCTGGGACAACCTGGGCACCACATTCAGAGCCTTACAACTGACATTTACCATTTGAGGAAGAATTCCGAGGACACTATAGGTTATCTAAAGAAAGAGCACAGCAGAAGCCGCCTGCCTTGAGGCTCTTTGTGTCTGAAGAGAGAAGTCAAGGGATGAGTCACTCCTCTTATTTATTAAAGTGTGTAAAATTCAGCCTGAATAAAGGAACTCTGTAAGCAAAAGGAGCAAAGAAGACGGAGCAAAAAAAAAAGAGCTCTACCTCCTGTCTAAAAATAATATAGCATAAGAATTTGCAATATTACTTATTAAGAAAAATATTTTTAAGAGATTACATTTTTTTTAGCCCCAAGTCTGACCATAATAAATAAGGATAACATATTCACACTCCCTATATTTCCCCTTTATAGAAAAGTAACTTTATGTTTATCAGCAGAGCAGATTTCTAGGAGGGAAAATGACAGCACAAGTCTAACTACCTGTATTCTGGTGGCTTGTAAGGCGTGCTTGATAGAAAGCCTGCAGTAACATCCAGGTAATGGTCTGCTTGTCTCTGCTTTCTGCAGTTACATTAATCATACCATCCAAGTATGTCAATGGCAGACGTCCCTGAGAGATTAGAATTAATCGCACAAATGTGGATTTCCTAATGTACTCCTGCGTATCAATAAAAGAAGTTGAAAAAAATACAGACGAATAAATGTTATTTGGAGCCATTTTAGCAAATAATTCACTTTGTATCAATACACAGCCTCGGATGGAGGCCTTGGATATAAGTTTACCTTGGAAATGCAGGTTATTCGATCAATTTCACTATCAGCCATTTCTGAGATGCATTTTGTAACTTCAATATACAGATCCACGTTTGTTTTCTGCACCCACAAAAAAAAATGAATACATCAGATATGTCATTATACAGAAGTGAATATAGTTACATAGTTACATAGTATTTGAGGTTGAATAAAGACACAGGTCCATCAAGTCCAACCTACTGCGTGTATGCATGTGTGAATATGTTTTAGGCTGGCTACTGGAGGTTTACGAAGGGCAATCTTTTCTAAAATAAATACCTTTGACCAAAGCCTTAGATGAAAGCTACTGCTCTCTATCTCCTGCACTGTACACTACGGTAGTTCTGAGACAGAGCTTGCAGTAAGCCCCCCGTTCACATCAAGGCGTTATCGATTTGCGTGTTTGTACGTGCAGGTTCAGCTAGGTTTTTTTGCATGAAAACTCGCGCACTTGAAGACGCACGTTTTGACCGGCAGCTTAAGAAGCATTGCGGTCAATGGACGAAAATGTGCAAGATTATTATACAGGACTTGTATAGCACCAACAGTTTCCGCAGCGCTTTACAAAACTGAGGGAGGCAATACAATTAACAATACAATTTCAGAACAGGAGATAGGAGGGCTCTGCTCGTGAGAGATAGCATTTTGCTGCTCGGGTGTGAACAGGAACCATTGAAAATCAAGGGATTTCTTGTATTGGATGTTTTGAAGCGCTTTTTATACTAGTCAAAAACACAGAGGTGTGAACCAGGCCTAAAGCCGGAGTTCATCTACATTTCCCTGCAACTATTTTATGGCCCAACACTCAGATAATGACAGCTTCCATCAGAGGCTTACACTAGTATGTTACTTCCAAGTACATTCCCTTTGAAGAAATCTGGTTCAAACAATCAATGGAAGCCATGCTCTGTCTTTCTTTATCCCACTCCTGCCATATGCAGTATGCTCTATATTTTGTTTTCATCCAAGATTTGCTACAATTGCTAAGAGCAAACTAACACATTGGTTTCCCAGGATAATTCAAAATTCACCTCTACTTCTGAGTCTTCTGTATATTAAAAGAGAACTATGGGGCAAGTGTTTTTCCCCATAGTTCTCTTTAGGGTCACGGAGGACATATACTAGTGTCCTCTCATGACCCAAAGCTCAGTATATCTCTGGCTATTGCCCGCGATATACTGAGAGCGCCGCAGCCGGGACGGATCCCGACAATACTATCGCGATCCACCCAGCTGCGTGAGTAATAGTGGGCTCTGCCTTTCTAGAGGCAGAGCCAGCTGTGCCCGCCCCCTCCACACTGGGGGATTGGAGCGGGGGAATCTGTGCGGGGAGCCGTGACTGACAGTCACCGCTCACTGCAGGGAGACGATTGAGAAGTGAACAGATTGGTGGCACGTTTCTACTCACTTCCCGATCGATAGACCCAACCTGTGACAGCTTCTTTGTCACAGATCGGCTCTAACTATGATTATGAGTGGAAATCCCTCACCTCATGGATCTCCTTTAACAAAATGGAGATCCTGACCTCCCACATCTAGCCATTTTGAAACAGAGCATGATCAGCAAGATTACATCTGCAGTGCTACCCTATTTTCTTATATGATGGCACACTATAAGCAAATGTATATATCCTGAAAAGACAATTATTCTGGAAAATATTGTTCTTATGCTAAAAATTAAGATCAATATCCTTCTCTTGGTATACATGTACCTCAAATGTTGAACTCATTTTTTTGCATTTAGCTAATATATGCTAAAAGCAGCTAGAACTACACCAGATAGAGTTGTGTGTACCTGGATGACATCTGGTAACAGCTGGAAGATCCTCTCTGTGGTTTTGCACAGAAAACTCCAACAGGCCTGAGAGGGACTGGGAAGCTTCATAGCCTGGCTCAGGCCCAGCAGAATGTTCCTGGACATCTCTACATCGTAGGTCTTCTTTTGCGCTTCAAATTGTGTAATCATGAATACATCTGCAAATGTTTGTAGCTTATCTTCAGAGACATGCTTCATCCACAGAGATAGTGAGGTAATCAGGTAGGAGCAAGTTTGTACCTATAATAAAAACACATACTGTCCACATTAAGGACATATGCTTTCATTTGCTAAAACACAACATTTCCAATACTGTGCAGTATTTGCTGGTTTTTAAAATTGAAAATGATGTTTCTAATTCACAAAGGGCCCGTTTACACCTAAGCGTAGTGTTAAGTGTACAACACCCTGGGATTAGCACACGCTATCGCACAATACTGCGCTTAGGTGTGAGTGGGCCCTAAATGTTTTATTACACAGAATAGTTGGGTCTGTTATCATATAATTGGCTTTTGTGTTATGTGTATGTTTGGGGCAATTAAACAAAATGATCACACGGGCTTTCTTTTCTTCAAATATAAAAAGGTGATAACTGTGATTTTCTGTGGACAAACCTCTTTGGAGAAGAATACCATATTACGCCAAAAATGCTATATACATGTGCTACGCTAATCATGCTAGTTGTTTCATTTGCATTGGAAAGGAGTTCATATATTAAAGGTTTGGGCAAATCTCATCAGACATAAAATTAATGACTACAGTGTATTTGCACATATTAACAGCACACTGTAGTCATTAATTTTATGTCTGATGAGATTTGCCCAAACCTTTAATATATGAACTCCTTTCCAATGCAAATGAAACAACTAGCATGATTAGTTGTGGACATACAAGTTATGGTTTCTCTTTGGGGAGATTGATGTGATTTACAGCTTCCCTAAGGATGTGTTTTTTTTCTGCTAATGCTGCAGAAATTATACTTGCTATTACGCAGTACCTATCTAGTGGATGAAATTAAAGGAGGAAACAGAGTGACAGAGACATAAGTAGTTCAGTGTGCTGCTTCTCTTTTCAATGGCCAGTCACAGACTGGGGAAAAAAAAAAAATCACATTACTTCTCCTGTTAGACAGGGCTGTGCTGTGTAAATCTCAGGACTGGATAACAGAAGTACAAATGCTTTGACTAGGGTTGCCACCTGTCCCGGATTCACCTGGACACTCTGGGCTTTGACTCCTGTATCTGCTGTTTCCGGGTTTCAACCCAGAAACAGCACATACAGGACTGAAAACCCGGACTGTCCATGTGAATCCGGAACAGGTGGCAACCCTAGCTTTGACAGGTAAAACAGCTGCCATATTTCATTTCATCTGTGTATTTAGCTGTTTGTCTGGAGTTCAGCTTTAAAATAAAACACTTTAGTAAATCGGTAATATTGCTTTGACACTTTGGTACTATCACTTCTAAGAGTGAGCTGAAAGGAAAAACTCACAGTAAGACTGTAAGCTAAGGGTGGAACCAGCCACATTCCAAGGAGCACAGCTGCATTCTGGGAGGACTGGGCCTGAGTCACTGCTATCCGCACACATAGTTTCTGGATTTCTTCACCTGTTTAAAAAAAAAAAAAAGAACCCCCAAATTTAAGGCACTATATGAAGAAACATGTGCTTGTGACAGATGTTTGTTTGCATGTTAACACAAAAAAAATTAAATAAAACAGAATAAAAGTAAAAATACTAATCATATCTAACTAATATTGTATAAATTTACTGATTTTTTTCGTGCTGAACAAAATCACACTGACAACTGGTAAAAAAAATGCACTATAAATTAGACAGTGCAGCATGGGGAGCACATGCAGCTAACATAGTTATGTGCTGCTATCAAGTCCCAATGTGTCTGTTAGCAGTATTTTGACATCCTTTAGTCTCCGTTCACACTACACGATGCAGAAATGTGCACAAACGCCCATTCATGCCCGTTTTTTGCCATGCGTCACCCATTGAATTCAATGGCTAACGCATGTGCAACAAACACGGCAAAGTAGCTAATGCAGCATTTTCAGCTGTGAATGTACTGTGTCTTTTCCCCCACGCTTTAGAAACGTGTCTACGCACGGGAAAAAATATACGTTTTACCGGCCGTGTTCGGGGTGCCATTAACAAGTAGCAGCACCACAAGTGTGGCGCACGTTTTGACACGCTTTGTCACACGTTCATGCAACGCGAAGTGTGAATGGAAGCTTAATGCCAGGAACATGTTTGATCAGCGTATTTATCTATTTGTGTCTGCCTGCTTAGCACAGTAGAACCTTCTTAGAACAGGAGGTATTCATATGCCCCATTACATCACAAATCCAAAAAATAGGAGAATTATTCCTCATATTAATGTGTAGGGGCATGAAAATCATTCCCTGACGTCCCAATGATCGAATGCACCAGAATTGCTAGTGTAATATAGAGCCATTATTCAAATATTCAAACTGCATGCAATGGTTTCAGGTTTTATGGCCATCATCAGTGCAGTGTTTAGGAACTATGGCTTTGATGAACTTAGGACTTTGGACCCAAAGACAAAATATACCTATTAAGATTATAGTTAGACGGGATTAAAGGAATCAAAAAGCTCTCCAATGGAAACCAGTGTGTAGCACAGTAGAAACCCTGCTTTCCATACACTGCACTGATAATGGATGATGTGAATGAAAAGATGCAATGGAAATAATGAAAGATGTGAATACGTTTTGTTCTAAGAAGGCTCTATTGTGCTACACACTGATTTGGTTGGTGGGGCTATTTGATTCATTTAGTCATTTCTCACCATAACCAGTATGGTTATCCTTTCTCTATACCTGCTTCGGAAAAGAAAGGCAGTCTCTAAATATCATGTAAAAGTTAGAGTTTGTTGTGTTGGAACTTTGCAAAAATACCATATAGAAGACTAAGTGGGGCACTGAAAATATCTGAACTGTCCATGCTGACAACATCAACAACTATGTATACTGCATTTCATTTTCTTAATGAACACACTAGCTAATTATTTACTCTGGGTTACCAGAGTGACACAGGCAACATTCTATTAGAAACATTCTGTGAATCAAAAATTACCAAAATTAAGCCTCATTAGGGGAGCAAGAATAGATGCCCAGTTGACAGGAGGATACTGATAGTCATCAGCTGCGGCAGCAATAGAAGATGTGCACACCTTGACCAGAGATGTAGGCATCAGTTCAGGGCCTGCAATGAATGATACAAAAATATAGTGACATAACAGACCAGCAAAAATCATTAAATGTACTGTTTAAATTCAAGAAGTGTAAGTAGCTGAATTTGACCTGGTATCAACTTCTTGCAGTCCCTGTACAGCAGGGCTGAAGTGTGAGGGGAAGAAGCAGCACATGAAGTCAATCAATTCTTGTGCTGATAGCAATCATGCTGATATGAAGAAAAAGAGTAACAGAGAGAGGAGTCTATTACTGTGCTGCTTCTCCTTTCTCTGTTCAGCCCAGCCCCATGCAGAAAGGCCAAAGAAGTACTAACACTCCTAAGTAGAGTGAGCTGTTACCAAAAAGGAGGGACACATACACACACACACACACACACACACAACCTTTACCCTTCAAGTCTGAGGACTCCAAAAACACAGATATTTTCCCCACAAATTCCATCATTAGAGCAGTACATTCTTCTCTAGACAAGATAGAGGAGGGTACCCTTGAGGGTACTGAGAAGAAACCTGACGTGGGTAGTATAGGGGAGAACGAGCACAGCATAATGCTAGCAGAAAGTGTCCCAAGAAGCCAAACAGGGACATGACCCTCCCACAGAACCAGGCCTCAGAGCCTGACATCCACACCTCCCGTGCCTATGATCTGCCATTGCCTGAGGGGACAGTCCCCAGTAATTACAATTGTAAAGGAGGACCCCTGCTGAGCCAACACTGTAGGCAGCAGCAATAACCCGGCACAGTGGTTGGTAGAGATCTGGATTCCCTTGCCGCAGCCGGAGCAGCCTGTTTAGCCAGCTCAGTGCGGGCCAGGAAGGAAAATGTGTGGTGCATGCTCAGTAGGATTCCCTAGAGCAGTGGTTCTCAACCTGTGGGTCACGACCCAAAAGTGGGTCGCAACCCACAGTTGAGGGGGTCCCAACATGCCTTGTGCTGCTCTAGGTAAGAGGCTCCTCAGCCTCCTCCTAGCATAGCAGTGTCAGTTCTCCTACATGGCGCGGCATCAGCAGCGGCCGGAGAGGATCAGAGAGAGGGAAGCAGGCAGGAGTGAGGGGAGGTGAGTGCTTGATCACCACAGAGCCCGCAACTGGGCACCACAGAGCCCGCAACTGGGCACCACAGAGGCAGCACTGGATGCCACCAGAGAGTCCCACTAGCCACCTGAGAGCCCACACAGATACTAGTATTGGTGCCTCCCAGCGCAGTCACTTGAAAAGTATATGCCCCGTTCAATCTTAACCTTTCCGGTGGGCAGATTTGATTTATTTGTCAGTGTCTAATCACCTGAAGGTAGCCGCATAACCTATCTATTGAAGAATTAACTCGAATGTGTCCTGCGATATACAATCAAGAAAAGAAATGCACACAAGTGCTTGTTGGGCTCTCCTATGACCACATCTTCCATCCCAGATGCTTGACACCTGAGCCCTTACACAGAGTGATTATTGTAAAAGAATGTATAAACCAGGCTCTCTCTGCAGAAAATAACAGTACATTTTTTTTACTGCAACTTACAAAGACAAAATAACAGATACACCACATTAAAAAAGCAGTTTAACACTGAAGTAAGCAAATCACAATTACAGCAACATTTGCAGAGTTAAATCACAATTTTAGAATTCACCAGTACTGCTGTAGCATGCCAGTAATATCACTGACCTATGCAATGCTAATATTTTAGATGCTTCTAGCTAGTGATGGGCCGAACACCCCTCTGTTTAGTTCGAATACAAACTTTTGAACATGGGGAAAGTTTGTATTAAAACTCAATGCAAGTCTATGGGGGTAGAACATTGAAAATCAAATGTCCCCATTTTGAAGCCTTATATGCAATTTATTGGACATAAAAGGTGTATGGGGATCCGGGAAATTAATGAAAAAACAACTTTTAAAAAATACAGTTTTTAAAGGAGCAGTGGTTTTAACATTGCATAAAAGGTAACAAATAAAAAAAAAAAAAAAATCCTTTAAATATTGTGCCTGGGGGGGTCCCCTTAACCTGCCTGTATAGTGGCAAAATCTGTACTTTGTATAGAACCTGCTGCAGCAAAACTCTAATTTTTTTATTCTTAAAGCGTGCAGTTCCCCCTCCCAAACAATACCTTTAGGTCTGGTAGGAATGTTAGGAGGGACCATATTTAAAAATGTTTTTTAAAAAAGTGTGTTGGTCCCACCTAAAATTCCATACCAGACACTTGATCCGAGCATAGGCCTGGCAGGGCCAGAAAGGGGGGCACACTCCCCTCACCAGGCCACATGCCCTCGGCATTGGGAGGGTGCTTTTTAAAAAAAAACTGATGGGGACAAGGGCCTCTTCTCCACAAGCCCTGGGGCATTGGTTGTGGGGGTACAGGCAGGGGGCTTATTCACATCAGGGTACCCCTTTAATAAAAGGAGCACCCAGATGCTGCCTCCCCCCATTGTGAATGAGTAAGGGGGGTAATAAAAAACACAAAGGATTTTGACAAATCCTTTATTTAAAAAAAAACAAAACAAAACAAATTACCCAACGTAATCCAGTGTTGTCAACGACGACTCGACGAAATAAAAAATAAAGCAATAAAAAATAAAAAATAAATAAAAAAACAACCGCCGTCCCGTCTGCTTGCAACGAACAACTGCTGCATAATGGCATTTTGACAGATGCAGGAATTTTTTTTGGGGCGGAGCTAGCGGTGACAGCTAGCTCCGCCCAACTGTGTAGTCACATCATCTGACAGGTGAGCCAAGATTGGGCAAAGTCATCATGGCTTTGCCCAATCATGGCTCTTACAGAGTACTGAGCCCTGATCTGGCACAGTGGTCAGGTGCAAGCCATTAGCCACTTAGAGCTTCACAAGGCGCATTGCCTGGTGGGGCGCTCAGCGGTCGAACAGACCGCCGAACACCCTTATAGTTTGTGTGTTCAGCGAACACACGAACTAGCAATGTTCGAGTCAAACTCACGCTCGACATCCAGCCCAACACTATTTTTAGTACCCGAATTTTTAATTTTCAACAAAAGGGCATTGTGAATACGGTGATAGAGCAACTCTAGAACAACTCTCAATGTATTTAACAGCAAGAGAGTATGAGCCTATTTCACAGAACCAGGTTTTACAAATTCTGTTCCCTTAACATATTTCCATTCTCTAGGATGATAATACACCCCATACACACTGCTATGGAAATTTAAGAGCCATGTTAAAGGGCCACGCCAAACGGACGATTTTGTAGCAGCAAACTCCTGCTGTTACAAATCACAAATGTCACTGATTAACAGCAATTTGTAGCTAGCAATGTAATTAATAGAATTGCTGGTGATTTGCCAAGAAGCAATTTGTTGCTCCTACAGGTTAAACTAGTGCTACATCATTAGGCTGGCAAATCATTCTCCTTCAATGATTTATAGCCATGTCATATAAGTGAAGGCAGAGCGATTGTTGCTGGCAAGCGTGTAGCTGAAAAGCAAAAAAACACCGGCGCTAGCACCCGCGAATTGTATGCACACAAGCTAGTAACACTAGTTATGCAGCTCCCACTGGTCAGGGCAACCGTCAAACTGGAAAACAAAGCAAAAAGGAGCGCCTCTGTAGTGTAAAACAGTATTTAATAAAAAGAAGGCACACAGCTAGGGCTGTACTTACAAACAACTGTAGAACACAGGCATGTAACAAGGATGGGTAAACGAAATAACGTACAAAGACGAGCTGGAGTATTGATGTTAAACCAGAGTCTTCTGCCCCCAAGTATTCCACAGGTGGAATACTTGGGGGCAGAAGACTCTGGCTGTGTGCCTTCTTTTTATTAAATACTGTTTTACAATATGGAGGCGCTCCTTTTTGCTTTATGTTTTCAAGCGTGTAGCTGACTTGAACGCTGCACAAGCTCAACTGCTGAGCGATTGAGCTATAAATAGCTGTAAAGTTAATTAATTTCACAACAAATGTCTCTTGCATGGTCATTTACACCCCTCCAAAAACCCTTATATTCCCCCATTTGTTGTGAAACTATGTAATTAGGGGCAGAGGTGTAAAACTAGGTGCCCACAGGAAGACAACCCATAATTTTGTAAAATTAATTAAGTTAGTAAAAAAATTAAAGGAGGATTGCTGCGCCCATCTGAGGAAGCCCAAAACATTACTAAACATTTGCAAAAAGTTCTGGAATTCAGTAGCAGATCCTTGATATTCATACATTTTTAAAGATCGATGTTAACTGGGTTTAACTAGGATGCTCTATGTTTGGGTTGGCATGTTTATAATCTATATATGCTCATGATGCCCTGTTTGAAGTGCCTTATTGCTTGTTCTAGTATTTGACAATTTGTTGGATGTGACAAATCTTATGTTTGTATACGCAATGTTGCCCATGCTTGGAAATCAAGAATTACAAAAAAAAAAAAATCTGAATCTGTTATGTTACCACCCCCTGTATGCCCCAAATCCTTCTTTATGTATTATATCAGAAAGGCAATGAAACTGATTGATTAACCACTTGCCGTCCGCCCGTAGTAAAAAAACGGACGGCACTGCAGCATTTGCGGGTTGTTTCACATATAGGCGATTAGCGGCTCCATAGCCCGCCGATCGTCTATATGTGCTCGTTCGCCGCCGGCGCCGGTTACACCGCGGATGTCAACTGGTTAAAGAAAACAGAAACTTTAGAAAATGTTATTTGTATCTAATGTGACTCCTGCTGAGAACAGAGTTACAGGGTTCTCTCTACTTTGGGTAAACAAGATCTCCACAATGCTAACATTACTGCAGGTGTAGACGGTTGAAGGAGAGGTGAACTGTACCTTTTTTGCCAGCTGAAATGAGGAAATCTGCAATAACTCGTATTAGGCTTCTTTCGGGCAAGTAGCTAAAATCGGGAGGTACTAGAAGAAAAACAGAGAAAATACAGATATGAAATATGGTACACAACAACTGACAAAATAAAGATTTCTTTTAAAGTGGAAATTCATGCAGATATGAAAGATGATACACTAAAATTAACTTAAAATGAAACTTCCTTTTAGGGTACATTTGCCTTTCAACACACATGTTCCAACACACTAAAGCACATGTCACAAACATCCCTAATCCCACCACAGGAATCATTAGCACTTTATTAAAATCACAACCTTACCTTAATAAGTACTTGTTTTCTCCAGGGGACTCAAATTACTCACCTGATTCTTGGTCCTACTGGCTCCCTCTGGGCTGCTAGATCAGTCCCGCAGCCTCTTCTTCCCTGGGCTCTGGCAGTCTATGGACTGCTGACATCATCACAATTAAGGTCCATTGGCCAGCATTAGATGTGACGTTGAGGGACAGTCCATAGCTGGTGCGGAGGGGAGAGAGGTGAGTGCTGACCCCCATGGGAGTTAAAGTAAAACTGCTTTATTTGAGCCCCCTAGACAAAACAAGCACTTAACCCTTTGAGTACAGGGGTAGCCCTACTGCAAGGTTAAGTTTGCAACTTTACCGAAGTTCTTGAGATGAGACACTGCCGGGCCCACAGGAGGAACAGACCATTTATTAATTAAAGACTCAACAAATTTGTATAGAGATGCCAAACGTTTAGTAGGAGTGTAAAGCTTAAACGACATCTGGGACTAACGGGTGCATCAGGAAGTCTTAGTATCCTAAGGGCCTCTAAGAGATCCTAAACAAACTGCAGCACCGGTACAAGTTGCAGGCTGCACAGCATCAAAGAAAGCTAAAATAGTCTCGGTAAGCCTGTGAGTAAGCACAGCTGCTTGAGGTTCCACAGGCACAATATCATTCATTAAGGATTTCAGAGTCTTATAGCAGAAGGCTCAGTGGCCATTAAATCCTGCATTACTGTGGGTAAATCCTCCTGGTAGGAAGCCAAAGAGGAAGCCACACCTGACAAAGTTAAGAAAGACTTCGAGGAGTGTAAGGACTGTGTAGTGGACAACGTTTCAGGCTGTTGGTGTCAGGCCCTTTATAGGAAAGACTACAGGCAGCACCTGAGCTGCTAGTGGATCAAGAGCTGCAAGGGCCTGTTACAGTGGGACTGCTCCCCGTTTGTCTGGGATCTGACATTTTGTGCTGCAAGGCAGGAACAATGTAGCTTAGGGTTAAACCTTACGTATGTACGAACTGGCTGTTGAAAGCAAGAAAGGCTCACATGGCCATATGTGAGCAAGTCACTGAAGTCTGACAACAAAGACCAAACGAGGAACATCCCCATGTCGCTTGCAAGTAGAAAAATTAACAGGAGACTTACCTCATGCTGAATTGGTGGTCAAAAAGAGTGTGGGGTACATAACACTCCCTTTAATAAAGTGCAATATCGTTCAGCCCTTCAGTGTTGACCCTTTCCTCATAAAACAAAGGAAAATAGGAATAATAAAGCTGCCCAATTGTCCCAATAGTTGGATAACTGCCAGTGCATGTCCCACATGGCCTACTCACAAAGTCCGTCAGAGACAGGGTCACATCTGGGGTTGTACCATGGCTCTGGACCTGGAAAGCACTCTGGAAACCTAAAACAGTACACTCAGATCTAGAAAGCACCACAATGTGGAACCCAGTGCCCTACAACACTTTCCATGCTAGCCCAGCAATCACCCAGTCCAGCGGGGGTTGGGGTATGAATTCCAAATCTGTTGCTGAGGATATGCCAATCCTGATAACTACTGGGGAGAGGTGAATTCAAGCAGCATTTCTCAAATTCTTGGTTGAAGAAAAATATATACAGAGCATCTCACATGAAAATAAAAGACAACGTTTTTATCAGCAGAGCTAAAGGAAAAAGCGCTCAACCTCTTAGGACACTAGCAAAAAGTCAAGACAGGACTGTTGGGGCTATACAGAAGCTGGCTAAATGGTTTTTGTTTGCCAGTGTCCTAACCTGTATAACTCAAATGTCTAAGACTTACTGCAGGGGTAGGCAACCTTGGCTCTCCAGCTGTGCTGAAACTACAAATCCCATCATGCTTCTGCCTCTGGGAGTCATGCCTGTGGCTTGCAATGCCTTATGGGATTTGTAGTTTTAGCACAGCTGGAGAGCCGAGGTTGCCTACCCCTGAATTACTGTGTCCCTTAATAGACAAGAAAGAAAAAACATACTTTGTATGTTACTTTGTATCTCTCTTTCTCTGTCTCTTGACTAAAAAGATGTTTAAAAATACTATATCAGAAGGCTTGTTTTTTGACAGCAGCAGCTTCTACAGCTGCTGTATTTACATTTTTTGGCGTGTGTAGCATGCCCAAGGTCCGCAACTGGTTAATCTTTGTGTACAATAAAATGACAAAAATATAAAAGAACAAGCATTTGAAATATGTTGTCAGATCAAATATATATTATATATATATATGATAAAAAAGGTACTTGCGATAAGTTTATACCACACTTTCCCTTTAATACTAGACATGAGAAAATGGACTGACAGCAGTTTAGGATTCTAATGTCTACGCCAACCAGCAAACGATCTACTCACCAGATGTTCTGCTCTGAGATAAAGAAAGGCTGGATAAGTGAAGGTGGCCCAGAATCCAGGCAGCATTTGTTTGCAGACCAATTACTCCAGAAAAGGTAATGATCTGTGGGAACAAAGTAATTTTATGTTCACATACTGGCATATTAATTTTGTTAACAGTCAAGTACTAGTTTTTGGTGAACTGGAAATGGCCAGAGGGATGAGATGAAAATGTCCTAGTAAAGATAAAAGACAGAAACTACCTTAGGCAAGAAGGAAGTCCTGGACCTCAACGCCACCTGGTCCCTATGTAAAACCAAAAAAGACTGCTTGCAGAATAAGGCCGCTAGTTCAGACATTAGTTTTGTAGAGATGCTGGCATACAAAAAAACACCACCTTGTGCGTGAGAGAAGAGAGAGGAATGTCTCTAATGGGCTCACTTGATGATCCTTGAAGCTCGTAGAGAACCAGATTCAGGTACAATGGAGTCATAAGTAAACAAACAGAGGGAGCTACATAGAAGACTCCCTGTACAAAGGTATAAATCAAGGAATGAAAGACCTCTCTGAAACAAGACTGATCAAGCAAAAAGCTGGGCCATGAAAATGCTGAGAGCCAAACACTGGGCCAGAAGCAGCTCCAGGCTGGTTATCTCATGAAGAAACTCCTAGGGTGACTGCCCAGAGACTCACAGCAAGTAAAGTATTCCTTCCATTTCCAATGAAAGACCTTATGAGAAGTAGCATTCCTAGCTGTTAGCATCATAGGAAACACAAATTCACAGATGCCCCTATTCTTCAGAATTTGGGTTTCAATAGCCATGCCATTATCCCCTTAGTGACCGAGGCCTTTTTTCCTTTTTTTGTATACATGTTATAATCCACATTTTAGGCCTAAAAATTACTTGTAGTTGCAAATTTTTATATTATTAGCACAACTCCTTATCAAACCCCAAAATGTAATGATAAATGCACCTAAATGCCCCAAAACACAATAAAACACCCATTTAAAAAATAAAATATAAAAGATGAGGTTACAACAAGTAAACAGAAACCCAACTTGCCCAGGTTAAGAATAGTGTACGTCCGTGAAACTGCAACAAAATTCAGTACCCCAAAAAGTCCATAGATGACGCTTTAAAAGCCCCCACAGGTCATTAGTTTAGAGATACGCATAAATATTGGCAGCTATGGGACCGGAAGTGATGTAATCTGCATCCCTCCCGGTCCCATAGTACAAGAAGGCGATCGGTGAACGGGCGTTCCCCAAGCTTCCCCCCCCCCGACACCAGAGAAGCTGGTCCCGGGCCCATAGGAGGGGCAGCGGAGCCCTGGAAACACAGTGGGATGTCAGGCAGGGGGGAGGGGGCCCATTTACCGGCCTGTAGAAGCGATCTGGCAGCGGTTCTGCCACCAGAATCGCTTCTACTGTAAAGCCGATAGTCAGCTTTACAAGTTTAAACAGAGTTCCGCCGGTTTAAACGGACCCGATGCCAGTGACGTATGAACTGCCCCAGGAAGTCTTTGTGGAAGCAGACTGTGGAGTAGGATAGGCACATTTTTGGAGGAAAGCAAAGCCTTATATGGCTGATCCATACTCTTCTGAGCCTGCAGGAAGTTAGTGTTCTTACCACAGTGACATTGTCTAATGAACTTCTAAAAAGATGGTTGCCCACAAAAGATATACAGCGTTATGCCTTCCTGGAAGCCTTTTCCACCATCCAATAATCAGCCAAAGTGTTGTGCCCAATGTGCACTGACATGAGGCTGATTTGAGAAAGCAAGTGGCTAACATCCAGTGACACGTCACACATAAAACTCAAGGAGACAGCCATTTGATCCATGTGATCCACCATCTGTTGGCCCATGCTGGCATCAGCCAAATCCCATCTGCAAGATTCTTACCAGTCAGCAAGGGTTTGAGACCGCAAGGGAACCAGGACTGGGTGTATAGTTAAACACATAAGTGCAAACATGGTCCTCCAGTCTCTTATCCATGGGGTCCTTGAATGAAGGGGGATCCTCCACTGGAATGGTAGTCACTTTGTTCAAGCAAGATATCAGGTGCTCTGCCCTGTAAGCGTAGACCATTTCTTTACAAAACCCAAAACCCTTTTAATATTTGGCCCTTAATGGGACTTCCAGTATAGGGATATGGTATCAGCGAGTACCGAAATAAAATATATTGGTACTCGTAATCGATACCGGAAAACCGATATCAGTGCATCCCTAGTCAGGACCACTATCTAATACAAATATTTAATTCCACAGTAAAGCTTTCTTACCTGAGTAATTGTTTTGATGACTTCATTAAGCTTGCTTTGGAACAAGGATGACTGGATAGCTTCAGATTTCAGCTGTAGTATGTGAGAGAGAGAGTGTGCAAAAACCTCATGAACCCAGGGTGAGTAAAATTATACCTATAGTGAGGAACCACCCTATAAACTAACAGTAATTGGATAGCCAGCAATATAATTCCAGTGTAACAGTGCTCTGACCTGGTGGGAGAGAAGGGAAACTGGTTTGCTGGAACAAGAGGTATGTTCTAGCACCACAGTGGGCTCATCACAGAACCAGTCTTAGTTTAAAACATGGTTCTTAAGACAGGACTCCAGCTAAAAATAACGAGATATAAAATAGCTGTCCCCCGCAATACCTCTGTTCTGCAGCTAGATGTCCTCAGTCTCACAGTCAGCATTATTGTCAGCCAGCATTATTCAACCCACTTCCTTTGAGCCCAGGTTGTACTGGACCCACCCCAGCCTAAGATGGGATAGTGAAAGGTGAAGCAGTAAATCAATGAGTTTATCTCTCTGCCACTCTGATTTTTCCTCTTATTAGCATGCTTCTTGTCAGCACATGAACTGATTGGTTTCTTGTACTGCTTCTTCATCTTGCACTCTAGCTTTGCTGTACAGAGACTGCAAAAGGCTGACACCAGGTCAAATTCAGGTACATACAGTGCTTGCATTTAAAAAAACACATTTAGTGATTTATTAAGGATTACAAAGCTGCATTAATATGTGTCTTTTATATCTGCTTAAGTTCAGCTTTATGTACAGGTTTGCTTTAAATGTCTATCTCTCTTCAAAAGTGATTCAATTATTTTTCACATTTTCCTCACATAAATCGCACAGCGTGTAATATTTAGTATACATCCTATGTTTAATAAACACATTTTCATAATTTTAGTTTGTCACTTACCTGTATAAGCGCAGACTCAGAGCCTACCAATGCCACAAGTCCATTAAGTGAAGCTAAGCGTTGCATAGTAGGGCAACCCTAAAAGATAATGGAAAGTTTATGTAGACAACTATTTATCATCATTATTTACAGAAAAGAAAACCAGCACTTACTTCTGCAAGTAGGATCTTAATCCAGGCAGGTAGCAAACGATTGTTCAGGTCCTCTGCCTTCCCATGACCACATACTGACAAGCCATGAACAATAGCTCCCAGAGAAAGAGCGAAACCTGGTGTCTGCAGCAGTAAAGATAATCCATAATATTTGCAACACAAACAAGCCTATATCTATAAAAAAACTAAACAGGAATTCATGGATACACAGATATCTAATCAAATACACAGGGTGTAAACTAACCTGCTGGTTCTGCTCTGTCAGTATTCTCAGTTTATTCATGTGTTCCTCAGCTTCATCTGCACCAACAACTCCAGCACTGAAGGCTGACACTGAGACACAGGCAACAGAGTATGACAGCACCTACAATATTAGATTATATGTTAACACAATTACTCAAAACTTTAATACATTAATGGTATTTAAAAAGTATTTTCCATATCCTCAAATCTGCAGCTTTGAGCTTTCATTAAAAAAAGACCTATATATGATAGCGGAAGGTGGATTCCTCCCCACTTGTCATTGTACTGGGTGCACTCTCCAAAAAAAGATAGATATTGCAAGCAGGTCTAGAGGCACAGACAGGTCTTGTAAGAAGAATTAGATTCAATTTCACAATAAATGTATTTGCTGACTGATGTAGTAAGGCCTTGATAAGGTGGGTTGTGCCCCACTCTGGTTGTGCTGCTATACAACCTGTGGGATCCCAAGCAAAAAACAATATTAGAGGGGGGTTCAAATCCTAAATATTTACAGGCAGATGCTTCCACAAAAAATTCATGAAATACAATATACTGTAGAAGAAATGTGGATCTATTATAAAAATTCGATAAAATGTATTGATTACATCACTTTCCACACAGCACACATGCCTCCAGAACACCTTAACAGTTAGCCCTCGTTCACACCTGAACGTTTTGTAGCGCGTTCTACGCTCGAAGAACGCTCTACAAAACGCTCAAAAATATAAATTGCATTGGAGTCAATAAACTCGTTCCCACCTTGCCGTATTTCCGCCCGTCCCGAACGCGCTACAAAACGGCCCACGCCTGAAAAGGTCCCGGGACTACTTTGGGCCGTTTTGTAGGCCGTTTTCCATTGGGATACTGCCAAGTAGCCTTTGGGGTCGCGCGACTTTTTTTACCGCGAATCGCGGTAAAAAAAACGCGTGACGGTCGCGCGACAGACGCGCATATTACAATACACCTAGGTGTGAATGGGGGCTTAAAGGTGTTCGGAGGCGTGTGTGCTGTGTGGGAACAACATTGCTCTATTTTATGGTAAAGGGTAATGGAGAGGGTTGTGCATATACTGACTCATGCCTTTTATTATGTGGTATGCAATTTATCAAAAAATGTATACCATTTTTATAAAAAATTAGGGTGTGAGTTCAGTTGTGGAGTTCAGATCCACTTTTCTTCTACTAATATATTATATGGGACATACAGGTCCTCTGCTTTTATATTATAAGCTACTGTACAATATAAAATATTGACTATTTATATTTGCCTGACATTTAACACAAAAGCAAAGAGAGTAAAGCAAGGATTCTTCAGTCATAGAGGGGAATTTATCAAAGCTGGAGCAGTTGTCCATGGCAATCAGCTTATGTCTTTCATTTTCAAAGCCTAACTGAACAAACTGAAAAGAGAAGCTGATTGGTTACTATTGCCAACTGCTCCATTCTCTGCTACAATTTTGATACATTCCCCCACTGTCTTTGGGAATCTCCTCTCCTGTATCATAAGCAAGGTGTTCTCAGATCCCTAGATTAGTGACAAAGGAAAGTGGGTCGTATTGATGCTCTATAACAACAATGCCTAAATTAAAAAAACTGAAGTACTGGCCAGGAAGACCGTGCTCTCTGTAGGCATCTCAAGTCTTTCAGTGTTTTTTTTTATTTGACTGCACTGTAATTTTTATATGTTTGTACAAATAGTGATGAGTTAGGGCTGGTTCATACCTAGACATTGCACTAAACCATGATACCATGAACTAGGTGTGTTGCCATTCATTTGAATGGCGCACTAATGCAATGACTAAGGCCGAATAAGGCAGAAACGTGTCAGCGGTTGTGCCTTGTGTAGATGCATGTGGAATAAAGTTTGAATTTCTTTGGAAGATCATCGTGTGCTGGTTCCACAATTTGTGTGCAGCAAAATGCATGATACCACAAGTTGCTGTGGAAAAAAGTAGCACTACTCTTTCACTGCATTGCAACACATGGTATTGTAATACTGCGGGCTGCTCCAATTTTTCAGCTGCCAAGAGGTACATTTGGGTGCCATTCAAATGAATTGCAACGCACCTAGTGCATGGTACTGCCCAGTGAACTGGCCCTAAAACTGTATGCCTTTACCTCTTGCACAGCTCGGCTCTGTTCACCACTGTTCTCCAGACATTCATACAGCTTACGGAGAGTGGCTGAGACATGGACTCGGCTGTCAGTCTGACTGCTTTGACTCATGAAGCAAAGAACAAGACCCACTCCAAGGATGCAACCAATGCTGTTGAGAAAGGGACAATTTACAGTACAACCATAATGAGAGCATATACTTCTGAAAATGTTAGTTGCTTTGCTGCCTCTGGTTTCAATACTTTAAATGAAAGATACTGAACATATGTAAAGCATATATAATTACCACAGAAAATGTAAGAGAAACTACTCAGAGTTATTCACAAAGGGGATAAAGGATATAGCCATAGCTTCGGCTAATCCTTCAGCTCACTTCGGCTGCCGGAGACCTTCGGTTCAGTGGAAACGAAGGGCTGCTGTACGGGCTAGTCACTATAGCTCGTACAGCAGCCGAAGGCAGCTGAACAGCTCAGCCGAGCCAAACGCATATGCTTCGGCTCGGCTGAGCCCAAGTCACAGCTGGAGAGGGGAGAATGGTCTACCGAAGTAGAATCATTCTCCCTGCAAATGTTCCCCCAAAAGTCATACCTGGCCCTTTAGGTCTGGTAAGAATTCTAGGGGGGGACCCCACCCCCCC